TCGTCCGATCCGTTAACGGCTGAAGGTCGTCTGACGAACCGATAAAAGATTAAACGCGCGGTTTCTCTTCCGCAACTGCGGCAACCATATTATCCGATTGCCGCTGAAATACGGCGACGTTATATTATTGTGATTGTCGATTCGATTGCCGCGGTTATCGGCCGTTTGACGCGACTCGGCGCAAGCAAATACGCATCGTGGATGCACCTACGCGACGCGTAATGTTACATTATAACCGCTCGAGAACGTCATCAATCTCCGGTCAATTAAACGGATTTTTTTTTTTTTTTTTTTCATTTATTTCCTCTAATGTTTATCCGGCCAACAGCTCGTGTACACAGCTCCTCGTCTCTCATCTCGCGCTGCAGCGTTATGATGATAGTACATTATAACATTATCATTTTGCGTGCATACGTGTCTTTGTCCGGTCATTTTGGCGCTCGGTCATCACGGTACGCGCACGCACACTACCCACCAATTTCGGCCAATTAAACGGCACTTAATGACTTTCAACACACGGACGCGCGCGCACGCACTCGGCCACTCGAACAACTACACAGTTGTAACCGCAGTCGACATGAATATTCCGTCGTTACGAACGATGCGACGGCTGCGCATTTCCTCCGGTCGCGCCGCCCGGCCACGGGTTCGTTAAAAAAAAAAAAAAAAAAAAAATTAAAAAAAAAACCGTGTGTGTGTGTCCATCTCTCGAACGTTCCCACGCGCTCCGTCCGACACCGTCCGGTATAATTTACTACGTCGCCGCGGCCCGTACACAGCCGGGTCGGAAAAAAAAATATAATAATAGTATTACGGGACGTGTAAAAACTCGACGAAAAGATGATACACGATTTAAAGTAATCGACGCCGATAACAACGGCGGTGATGTCGGAGTTTTTAAATTCGTATTTTTAGTGTCTGTGAGCGCGAAATAACCAACGGTTTTACGGTTAGCGTACATACTAAACACGTTTACTAGACACTGTACGTCATAATGCGCAGTCGTATAATAGTAACCATAATACACGTGTCTTGGCGAATAACCAAATGTAACCCGGTTACTATATTTTTCGGTTATAGACAAATTAATTTAATATTCATAACCAAATTTAAAAACCGGTTACCTATGCGATAAAATAATGGTTTTAAACATCTACCCAATACATTTTCTTTTAAAAGTCTTTAACTTGTCTTTACGAGTTTTAGTTCTACAGAATAAAGTATATGCGCATAAAGAATAAATAAAATGCCAAGGCCTTAAAACGCTTCAAAATTTTCACGTCTATTATTTATTAACGATTGATATTATTTTTAATAAACGTATCGCTTTCGTAAATCTATAGCCAAAAATCAAAATCATACAACTGTGTCTGACAACGAATACAACCAGGTTAATCGTCAAAACACAGCTATCTATATGAATGATCATTGTCGGTTGCCCATCGACGTACGATAAGATCGTTACTAAACCGAATTAGAAGCACTGAATCAACTGTTTTCTAGACCGCTGATCGTGTGACGGCGTGAGAATATGTCGAGCCGAGAAATTAAAGATACCAATGATTCACTGCACTGCACTAGTGAAATACGTATCGAGTTTCTCGCGGACCGATGGATTCAAATCGGTACACACATTTTACCCGTAGTCCGACCGTAGACAACCATAAAAGCTAGTATAGTAATAGCTGTAATCGTGGTATTAAACACCGAAAAACAATTAGAAACTTTCATCACGCGGTAGTATTTTATAAGAAACTTTTTTTTTCTCGACGGAAAATTGACAAGAAATTACTTCCGACTAAACAAATTTTTTAACCGTTTCGAAGTCAGATTTCCGAAACAAATCAATATTCGTATACGGGCGCTCGCACCAAGACTTTCTCTTTTTTTTTTAGAAAAATACCACACTGAGGTTATGTTCGATTAACTTTACGTCGGGGTTTTTTTTTTTTTATAACAAGTTCACAGTACAAAACAAAAAAACATTTTAAAAATAGGTTTCCCATCATCACGTAAACCGATTGAAAATGTCGAAATTTGTCATTGTCACCGATCTACGCTAATTGGGCGTGAGAAAATCGTCCCGCGAATTAAGGATGAAGGGAAAAAAACACGACAAAAACAACGACGGTAAATATTATTATATTATTACGATCGAAACGCATCGGGGATCCATTATAAATTGTACAGGCGTATTCTGACTCCGCCCCCTCCCCCCCCTCGGAATTTTTACTTTTAAAACGCTATAACAATAATTAACGTATCGTTTATAGATATTTAAAAAACAAAAAAAACGACTCGTAACTGCAGCACACCCACTCGCGGGTATCCGAATAGCGGCAGTTCCCACGGAACTGGACGGGACGTGATGCGGACGATTTCGACACCGCGCGTCAGTTTTTCTTTTGTGTATTATCGAAACAACATCTGTACTTATATCTCTCAGCTCGGTCTCCCGTTTTATATTTTAAATATACCGAACTGCGAATAATGCCGCGAAATTACAAAATACACGCGCGGTCTACATAATACGCGTGCACACCGCGATCATTGTACAAGCGCGTAAAACGCCGGAAAGTATACATTTGTTTTTTGGATGTTCTAACGAACAGAGTAGAAGAGAGCAGAGTAGAGAGAATCGCGTACTGAGGAGTACGCGATTTTACATTGAGCGAGCGTATTTCGTGTAACCCGTATCGTTGGAGAGGAGGGAATGGGAGCTGAAACAGCTTTCGTCGGGTTTTGATGGTCAAATGACCACCCACACGCATATTCCGTAAATTCCATAAATAGATGTAGTGATAAAAAAAAAAAAATCATAAACAACGGTCAACGATTCTCTCTCGCTATAACCCGCAAACCGACAGACTTAAAAGCGGAATACCTCGTCCGGTCGACGGAAATCAAAAACGTCAATCAACGCCGACATTTATTTCTACTGAAACGTTCAAAATCGATTGTCATTTAAAAATTAAAACGCGCGCGGCGGTGGTTTCGCCCCCAAATATGTGACGGGTGACGACGTAACAGGGCAATTATTCAATAACATTTTAGAGCCGCTTTGTGTTTGTTTTGAATTTTCCCGAAATTTTCTTAAAAGTTATACAGGTCGTAATTTTCATGAATGATTTCCGAGTTAACGAGCGCCGCCGGATAACTGTAATTACACTATGAATACACGCGTCACATTGATTCGGGTAATAGTATTGTAAACGAAAAAAGGAAGTCGAAAAGGTACGAGGATAACACAGGATAATTGTCGGCTGTTTATCCGCAGCGGTAAACGATAGATCACTGCGAAAAAAAAAAGAAAATATTCTGAGCGGAGTGTTATTAGTAAAAGGACTCACCGGTCGGGGTTTTTTCGCCCCGTAGACCGTATAGAGATAACACGGAAATCGACAGAAAAAAAAATAAAAAAACACGCATCCGACGCGCGACGGGCACATTCGCTGTCGGTTTCCGAAATCTTTTCGGGAATTTATTCGAAAAAGAAAGAAAAAAAAAACAAAAACACTCCGTCCCCGGACGGAAACGCGGCGTTCTAATCTCGTTTTTCAACCGTTGCTCCCGGGTACGCCTCGGCGTAACACTGCCGGGGTCCCCCCCCCCCGCTCGATTATGTATTTACGGGTACGGACGGTAATACCGCGCGGCCGCCAGGTTTACGGCGGTGTTGCGCGTACGCCGGGCCGCGCGAAACGCGAAAGTTTCCGACACCTCGCCGCCGTAATAACAACGGCGACATTATTATTATTATAATCAACAAACGCGTCCGGGAAATCGTTCGGGAAGTTTGTATTCGGTCATTATACTCGCGCGCGCGCGCGCGCGCTCTCTCTCGTGTACCTCACTATATTATACGCACACAATAACGGCGCGTACCACTCGGGACGGCGGCGGCGATAATGACGCGACGTGTTTTCGGCGTCTCGTCACGTAGCCAGCAGCCGCCGCCGCCGCCGCCGTACTTTTCGCGACGTTACGCGCATTTTCGCGAAATTACAGTAAACCCGACCCGTGGAGTTACCGTGCGCGCGAGAAGACCGGCGATTATTTTAACGAAAGGTTTAACGGACGGATTACCCGTTCACGCGAACATATTATCATAATGGGTACGTTTAAACCGAGAAAACAACGATTGTTATCGGCGTTAATGCGATCGTGTCCGACGGCAAACACATATTATAAACAAGACGGCATTTTGTTATGTTTTTTTTTTTTATGCGATCCCAATAATTCGCGCGTACCCGTACAAAGTTGATTATACACGCCGGGCCCCGTTTATGTGCGGCGGGTAAAAAACCGCGCGTTTTTTTTTTATAGTAGGTACTATTACACTGAACGTCATCGCTTAATACGACCGTCGTCGCCGTAGCTTTAATCTATAATAATAATATCGCACGACCGCGACGACCGAAAAATATACACCTATATATTATAATAATGATGGTATATAAAAAAATAATAATAATAATAATAATAAAAAAATCCGCCGCAAAAATGCCTATAAACGAATATTATTACGGAGACGTTTCACCCGGCGAAACGAGTCCGCGCAACTTTTATTATAATACAGTTCAACGTATTAATGTATTAATTAGGGTTAGATTAAGTTAGGGTATAAGAGTCAGCATGTTTTTTTTTTTTAATAATCTTTCAACACATAGCCTATTGGTATACTATTTGTTTCGAGATACCGGGAACTTATAGGCCTTTTTTGGTTTTTTAGATGCATATTTCCCATATATTTAGCTCTTTTTCCCTTGTCAGTACATATTTTGATAACATTTGAATTTGTATAGCATATTTCACTAAATTAAACAAAAATAGTAAAACAAAATATAAAAATCTGGAATTTACATCTATAATATGCTATGAGTAGATATTTTATGTTTGAAATTATGATTTTTATCATCACGGGGATGACATATCTCATCTACGAAAATGAAACGAAATAGGTAATATGACAATTTTTTTAAGTACACAATATTTTATTATCATATTATCATATTTTAACGGCATAATTCTCCGTTTTGCAAACACGAAATGACCTTAAAATGATCGAAATGATCATTTTAAGGCCATGAAGTCCCTACAGCCCTAGTCATAATATGTTAACCCGCGGAATATATAAAATTGTTTATGATCACGTTATCGATTTGAAGGACGGGAAGACGAGCCGTATTCGGGATGTTGTGTATAGGCTGATTTACCTTTTGAAATGTTTAGAAAAATGAAATGTCGACTCGAAAATATTCAAATACGTTTACCAATAGAATTATAGTATAGCCCCGTGTGATTATCAAAAGTATATTCGCTGTGTTGTTGTGAAGTTAACAAAAATGTTTGCGAAAACCGCCGTCAAAAACTACTGGGGCTACGGAATTAGTTGAAAAACCGAACGTTTGCTTTATTCCGACAAAGAGAACTTGCATTATGCAACTCGGTTTTGTATTTATAATATCGAAAAAATAAAACAGACATTGCGCAGCACAAGTTTTCTTATTTTTCTGCGGTAAAAATTTGATTTCTCAATAAGCCATAATAGGCCTTGATTAGCCCCGTTGGCTTCGCGCAAAGCATATATTATCACAAATAGATGAAACAAAAAAATTCTACGATACATCACCGTTTCGTCCGTGTTAACACTCTGATATTTATATAGTGAGTCGTTTGAAATGCGTACATGTACTTTCTTGCACCATATTTAACAAACAACTTGTTTTATAATTACCTGCAATAAAAAAAAAAAAAAAACCATTAATAATGTGCATTGTATATATATATATATATATATATTGTATAATATTAACTTAATTGGATGGGTTTTACATGTTATAATAACGGAAAAATGACGAACAACTTACTATTATTTTGAGTGGCGACGTTTAATAAAAAATGATTATACGCCGCGGACGAACCCTCGGAGACGAAATATTTGCAAATTTTATTTAAGCCTATAACATTACCATCATATTACCATATATACGCCCATCGCGCGCGCCAAACACATTTTACTATATCACTCGTAAAAAAAAAAAAAATAATAATAAAAAATAAATAAACTCGGTAACCACCCATTTTTCGACCCTTTGCCACGGGAAAATGAACTGCTACGGCCGAGTTACATACTGGTATAGCGTTATAAGTATACGAAGAGAATAAAAAAACTACCGACCGAGAGTATAGACCGAATCAATTGGACAGAGTGGAAAAAAGTATTAAAAGAAAAAAATAGTGCATTCCTATAAAGTACCCCTGCAGCAATAGCGGCAGCAGCGGAATATTCTCTCGCTCTCTTATGAATTTCAAATGAGCGAAAATATGCATGCAGACTATATACTGCAGGTTGCACCCCGATAGTGTTTTCCCTTAAGAGTTTTCGAAAACCCGCAGTAAAGCGAATGACTATTACACGTGCTCTATAGGCGGCGGATATTTGGTCACATCTGTAAGGGAGGGATTGGCATTTAAACAAATTTTACCGAAATCCATTAACGAAATTATCCGCACACTCTACGCTAAAACCTATTGCGTATCTCTTTTTCTATAGCTGTGGCACCATATATGCATTTAGTTAATAGGTCGGTATGATTTTAATTTGTATAACCAATTTTTTTGGCGATGTTTTCGAGAAATAGTTTGACACATTGTTTGGTTGCAATATCGCGAAAATATTTTGTTCACTATACATTATTTTATCAATGGATATAACCGTATAATCAGTAAACGAAAACAGTATACCTAAGCGAAGGTTTTATTTGTTCGCCTGCAGGTTATTGAAAATTACCGAATACCTGTGCCATATAAACGCATAGTTCTTATAGGGCTCGAGTCATGCAATTATAAATCGTACGACTTACGCTTTTTTCACAAAAATTGCGTCGTTAAAACGAGTAATTATAATTTTCTACTTGCGTTACACGATATTCGTATTATACGCTTACGCCGTTCGGACCGAAAAGCAAAGGGAAAAAACACAGTTATTGTTAAAAAAAAGAAAAAAAAAAAAAAAACGCCAATAATTGATTAAAGCCCGTATTCCCAGGGACTGTAAAGACATATTAATACGACTGCGAGCGTAACTATATCAGTATTATCAAAGGCTATAGAACTTGACGGCGGCGTGTGTAGTCGGTTACGTTAAACTAATCGCGTCGCAGTCGCCTCGAGCTCACCGACACGGTTAAAATTTCATTGGACACAATCGTCGAGATTACGACCCGAAACGCTATTAGTATTATCAGCGTTTCGGTATACGCCGGCTATAGCATTACTTACGTCGTTAATGCCGATAGCCTCGAGCGCGGGCGACAAAAATAACAATAAATAAAAAAAAAAAAAACCTCGGAAAAATACGACGATATGATAAATTATTGCAGAAAATAGAATATGATTCGACTATCCAGTTCAAGACTGCGACAACTCAAAAATAATCAAAAATGAATTAACGACACCGTTAATTTTTTTCACTTTTTCAAAACAATTTCAATTCAAGCGCACAAATGAGCTCTTATATTTCGTTTTAAAATAACAAATTTGGATTAACATATCGACCAGTTCTAAAGTGAATCAAATAAATTAATTGAAATCAATTGGTGTATATTAACATAATAGATTAGTAAGAAAAGGTTAGGTTAAGTTACAACGAGAATTTTATTCATACATATTTTATTTCGTACAATTTATATTCGACTAAGTTAAATTTAGGTTATATTTTAAATCACTTCCCTGAATATTTTCTTTTTTGAGTTTGTCGTAGTGTTAAACTCTTAGACACGCAGACACTATAATATAGAGTATAATATAACCCGAAAAACCGGGAAGGGACGGGAAATAAAACCCGAGAATATTTCGTTTTATTTTTCTTAGGTTTTTAGTTTGGTTTTTTTTTCGGCACACGCGACGCGTATTATTATTATTATTGTAATACACTCGTCCGTGCGTCCCCTTTGAAGATGCGCGAACACGATCTTCTATTTTTTTTTTTCATTTTTTTTTTTTTTTTACACGATCGCATCACTATACATACGCTCGCATACAGCTTGCATATCGTATACGTGTAGTTCAACGGAGCGAACGGAATTGACGATATATTGAAACAATATTATAATAATATATATGCTCCCGTCTGCTTCACGGGATGACGTCGTCGTAAGTATATATTATATTTGTATGATGTTATTTCCTCAGAGAGACGGTTTTAAAGGGCGGACGAGACGGATCCGCGTACCCGAAACCGTACCGAAAATGTTATAATGTGGTACCTATCCGCATGTATATAAATATATATGTATCTCGCGACGTTCTCAAGACTTTTCCCCGGACTACCTATACACATACTTACGCGTCGTCGATAGAGAAACGAGGGGGGAAAAGAACCGCACGATAATCCCGGGGATTTAATTCTCGGCATTTTACGCGCACCGTCGAAAAATGTCGCCGAGAGACGCGGACCCGTACGAATAGAAAACGTATAGAGTCCTCGGCGCCGCGGGGGAGGTAGTTAGATTTAAAATGTCCCAGTCTCGTGCACTTTATACAGAAAATCGGTTTAATTATAGTTTCCGTTACAAGAGTGACTTTTTTGTTCTTGTCTGTCTTTAAAACAGCTTTTCGACCAATCGTCAATTTCGGGGGAGTCTGGTTTTCGACAAGGAAATTTCGATTGAACTGCGCGTTACACGAATGACTTTTACTACTCAAGAGATTACCGCGTATGCACGATCATTTTCTATGGACGCCACGTGCGGTCTTCGACTTATTTTCCCGGCGTTTTTTCAAGGAACGTTTGGTATTTGTATTTTACAATTTCGGGGAAAAAATCGAAAAAGATTACGAGCAAGCTAAGTGTTTAGGTTTTAACGTGTTGTTAAAAATGGCAGTGGCGCGCGCAGAGTGGGGAGGAGGGTTGGGGTTATATCCCCCCATCGGCTTAAAAATACAACAAAATATGAGTAATCTAATATCGAAACTAAACATAAATTTCAAACGATTTCCGAGGAAAAGCTTGATGTTACCGGCTTTTAAATCACCAACTCCCATATTCGAATCGGATAGGGAAGACGATTTTATTCACGATTTTTATTCGTTACATCCCCTCCGATCGACAATTCCTGGGCACGCCATTGAAAAGGGACACGGGGGCGAGGGAGGCGGGATAAAAGAAGTCGGGAACCGCTTTGACCGGAGGCGCGAGAGCGTGACGGTGCCAACTCTCGCCGAGCCGCGCGAAAAAACGGAACCCCTCCCCACCTCCCTTCGAAACCCGTCGAAAATTCACGCGCAAACGGCCGCGACGACGATAACGCGACAGCGATAACAGAATGAAGCGGCCGGGGCACTCGAAACGACGGGCTCGGTCGACGACGGCGAAAACGTGCCGCTACCGACGGTCCGCGAGAACAATGGACCGGTAACGTTCGGGGAAACGGCGCGCGCGGCTGTGACACGGTTCACGCACGGACACTTTGCGGCGTTTTGACGTCGACGGCACGTTCCGAACGGAGAGACAGAGACGGAGACGGAGAAAAAAGCGTCCGCTGAGAGCGAAATAATAATAAGAAAAAAAAAACCTGTAAAAAAAAAAAAAAACCCCGTCGCCGTAGACGGATATTATTATATTGTATATAAAACGTACAGTAATATACGATATTCCTCGGCACGAAAAACCGCTTGTACGAGTCCCGCCGTCGTCCTGTTCGGTCGCATCGGTCGGTTTTCGATATATTTTTTTCTTTCTCCCCTATTATATTGCCGGCGTATTCGTATTGGATCGAAACGCGTCCGCTCATAATATACGTATACACGATATTATTGTATTATTTTATTACGGCGATATTTTTTTCCCCCGCCGACGACGACGCCCCCGTCCCCCGGAACACCGTTTTACTTTGTTCGACTCGTTTTAGTAATTTTAGTATTTTTTTTTTCCAGATATGCTTTTTGTATTATACGCAGGAACGTGTGTGTGTGCGCGCGATCCTGTAGGGTTTCGCGGAAAACCGGCGATCGACCAAAATGCCGCACACGCGCACATTTCACTCGCTCCCGACGCTTATATGCCGGGCGGCACAAACAAAATGATAACTGGTCATGGATATTACAACAATCGAACCGATAACATCGCGACGTGTACTTTTCGGTTTTTCACCACGGTTTACACATGTCGTTATGACGTACATTAATAGCCGGTGGTTTGCGGAGAGTGAGATTATAGGGGTTATACACACCCTCTCTGCGACGGCCCGAAATTACAAAAAACTATGAGAATTCATTTGACGAGGAAAAGTTTGATTTTTCTATTAGAAATTGGCTTTTCGGATTCCCGTTAGTCGAGTCGAGTTCACGAAGAAGTAGACGACTCTACGAATTACGCACGATTATTTCAGATAATTTCAACCGCAAAACTCAACAGACATTTGTATCAGCGCCGGTCGTAACGTTCCAATTCTCGCCGCCGTCGTCGTCGTCTCCGTCGAATTTTACGGCGTAAAACCGCAATCGCGGTAAATTCGCACCGAAACGTTTACACGACACGGCGCGTGACTTTACCGGCACGATGTAAAGCGAATTACCCGACGACGACGGTCTATCGATCCCACGTCACAATGTTATGTATTTATTTTTTTATTTTACATACATTACAGGCGGTTGCCCAACGCACAGTGACACGAAGAAAAATCGTACGTAGTTTGGAATCACGTCGGGTTTTTTAGTCATAGAAAGGTACTATGGGCTAGAGAGGTTCTCGTTTGCCAGACGTATCATAGTTAGTGAGACGTAGAGAAATGCGTAGTATATAGGGAGCGGATAACCCGAAGAATCTACCGGGAATCCTAAAACTAACCTCGGCAAGAAGTTCGGGTGCGTTAATATGGAACCTTTTATGAGTTTGTTGAGGAAATTTATGTTGCAGGTTGAGACTCTTCTATCGGATAACTACTGAGCTTCAAGCGGAGTAGGACGGGTGTGAATAATAGTGCGGTGCGTGTTTTATTATCGTAAAGCAAACGGACCGGAATTGAGGAATTTACACTAAACACGTTCAAGTTGGTGCGAGTCAGAGGACTTCTTTCTAAAGAGGATAACTGGAACTGTTTTTATAGATCGTTTATATACCGGTGGTTTTCAACCGGAGGTCGCGGCGACCCACAAAGGGGTCACGTGTCAGGGGGTCGCAAAAAAACCATAAGTATCGTGTATACTGTATGGTATATCGTACTATTCGAGTTCTATTAAACAATTTTCGAAGGGTCGTCTCACGTGAAAAAAAAATATAAGAGGGTCGTGATCCGTAAACAATTGACAATCACTGGTTCATACTATAGACAGCCCGGCAGCATTACATTCCAACACCTCTCAAGAAGCGCTCTCCGTTTGCGATTGGACCGCGCGGGAGCGGAAATGACATTTTGTATCCCTTTTAACAATGCGTTTTCGAAGCGGCGGCTCGGCGGGCTCAGAATCAATTCTTATAAAACGGACGATTAAAGAACAATTTGTCGGGGATTCGTTTTTAGCTCGTAAGGCCGTGATGTACCCGACGCGATGATTTTCGATCGATTTACGGCATTAAGCCCCGAGACAAAGGGCAACCGAAATCGACAACAGCAACACGATACGGTAAATCCGAACGGTGCCGAAACGGATCCCAGAACGCCAATACGCGACCAGGGCACAGTTATAAAACCGTACGGGGGAGGGGGAAAATTCGGGTGTGTGTGTGTGTGTGTGTGTGTGTATTATTATCCCCGCGGCGCGCGTTTCAATCCACGGCGATTTATTAAAACGACGATAAAACATTATTTCGTTGCCGCGACGGTGGAGGCGTTTAGTTTTTCGCGCGGGTTTTTAAAATGCCGTCCGGCACGCGATACGGAACTTAACGACACTTTTATATACGAAGAAATCTCTCGGCGCGTTATACTTTGATTGTTATTATTCGAGTGTATACCTACCGCACCCGAGTATAACATTATATTATTATTACGTCGTCATTTTAGAAGGCCGCGGCGAAACGGTTTAATTTTCGGGTTCGAATCGTGTAAATTATACACCTGGGCGGTATACGTCCTACAGTATATTAGTCTACACCCGCGTAACGATATTATTTATATAATATATACGATTACAGCTCTACGTGTTTTTTTTTTTTATCGCGTACAGGTGCATACACGCACTGCGCTTTTAATTCACTGCTAGGGCCCTCATCAGTCGTGAGCCCGTGAGGTTTGCCCACCTTGCCCACTCAATATTCACGCCACTACACACGTCATGCGTACGCAATATCATTATTACGGCAAATTCTACAGGTTAATTTTACCAACAAATTTACAGGGGTACGTACGTCCTGTTAAGCGACCGTGTGCGATTTTTCAAAAACTATAATATTATAATGAAATTTACTCGAAACGTTTTTTTATCGCAGTGGTCGTTTGTTTTTTTTTCGTATTACGACGACTTTGCCGCTTACATTCGTCCGAAAGATAACTGCGCGTATGTATTTATAGTCTGTAATTATTATTATTATTATTATTATTTGAAATTTTCGTATACCTAATAATGAAAACACGTTTTAAATTACGAGTATTATGATTGTATACGGGTGTACCGCAAACTAAACAAAGTTTCAACATAATAGCAATTCAAATTAACAACCCTATTCACCCTTAAAATATACCACCACCGCACTCCGTTGTCGTTGTATGAAACGCGTGTATACAGAGTTAGGTATATATACGCACAATAACACAATTAATAACCCTTGTACAGTATATTACTTATATTTTATCTCGTTTGTGGGTTTCGTTTTTTTTTTTTTAATTGGACCCGATGCTTTATTACGTGTATATATATATAATTATTTATTGGATATACGCATTGTATGTGTAGTGAATCGGACTTTTATCCGCCGACAATCATTAAACCGGCTTAAGGGCTTGCGCGCGTGTGTGTATGTGTGTGTGTGTGTGTGTGTGTGTGTGTGTGTGTGTGTGTAGTATATACGTATATAATAGATCGAGAATATATCACTGTCGTAGAAATAACTTCACTAATTCTTCGTTAATTTATAGCGTAGAATCGCGCTAAATATATAATAATGTATACGTATGCCTAGCTATGTGTGTATAATATTTCGCCGGAACAAAGCCGACGACAACGAGAAACGCCAGATTCGAGCTTACAAAACGGTAGCTGCTCTGGCACGTTCTTTAGAAAACTTTGCTTTTCACTGGCCGCACATATAATACCGTCACAAAAGCCGGTTATACACATTGTTATTTACTTAGGTATATTATAGGAATCCGCGCGTGTGTGCAGTGCAGTCTTCTATAATAAATTCGTTTGATTATTATGTAATAATAGCTAGGGTTCTCTAGCTATAATTATATAATATAGAAGAACAACTCGTTATCCTAGCCATTTATTAAATTTTTTTTTAGTTTCTGAGCGAAGCCAGAAGTGTACTTGTTAGGTTTTTTTTTTGTTGGTAAAACAGCGTTTCGAAACCCGCAGACATTTTAGTCCGAACACTTGTACGAACTGTTTCGTAAAGCATTTTCAATTTAGTCGGTGCGTCGGGAGTAATTTTTCGATATTAGGGTTATTTTGAATTTTTCGATTTATGGATTACTCGCCAAAGAAAAAAAATAAGATTATATTTACTCTGTCCAGAATCGTTTTGCGTTAACGATAGTTTATTGTCGCGTACGAATAAAAATTCAATTCTCTATGACGTATTTTTTTATACTCCCTTCCTATACTACCCGTCGGAAACAGCGGCACCCTGTTCAGCAGTATCGCGCTACTTTTACAAATCGTTTTATTTCAGAAATATAACATTATAATTTTGTGCATATGCTTTTCAAACTTTTAAATAAAATTTAAACCTAATCTTTGAACGTAGGTTCCTACCCCTTTTATCACTGGTGATTTTTTGTTTTTAAATAACGCGTGAATATATTAATTTATGTACGATAATAATATAATAGCGTAATGTATAATACGTGTTATAAAGAAGTTAATTAATGGTTTTTAAAATTCGTAAAAAAAAAAAAAAAATGCATATTATAATATTATTACGCGCGTAAGTAAATATGAATTAATTATTTATACGTATAATATGGCTTAAGAAAAAATATGATATGCATCACTAAATCCGTTATGAATATCGTCAAGTATTGCTGTATGTTTAAAAACCACTAGTTTCGCTTCGATAAAATCAAAACGGAAAAACGGAAATTTATCGATATTTTTTTTTTTTATTTAAATTCCAAAACAACAATTGTATTGAAATAAAATCTATTTATTAGAGTTTTACTCTATGCGTTTATCCGAATCCGTCGACAAACGAACGCCTGACTCATTTTTAACAAAAAATCACAATATATAATCGGATTATATTACTATTAAACCGAAAGAAAACTATTTCAGAACACCTTTGGACCAGTAAAAGATAAAGCGACCGGATAACGGAGAAGATTTAAAACCAGAGAACTAAAAAAGATAATGATCGGAGAACATAATAATTTAGAGATCGTCAAAATAAAAAGACGGCCAAAACTCACTATATGGAAAATACTTCTATAAAGAATGAGGGTATGCTGGGAAAACGAATGGTCAAATAAGGACGTGGAAGCTTCGAGAATTGGACCAAATCGGGAAATTTCGACGATGGATTTATAACAGAGATGACAACCGATCGTGACCGAGTGATCGAATAAAGATAAACCCAAATAACAATAATAATTTGTTACGTAAACGTTTGAAATATCTCCAAGCCGAACCCAGAGGCGTCTTCATTTCAGTTTTTCTTAGGGTGGGGCAACATTTTCATCGGTCCTACGTTCATAACATGACAAATAATTAGTCAAAACACTAAGATGGATACAAAACTGCAGTAACAACACAAATATTATAAGCCTTAGCCACAGTCACTCCATTGGGGCGTATTTAACCACGTTTCCTATTACCTATACCTATTTCTTCCACACCCGAAAGAACGTTTTCTCCGCTGAACCGTATACGAACGATTTAAGAAAGAGCATTGTGGTAGAAAATAGACTCAAGCGGTTAGCCGTGATGACTAATATCAACAAAAAACAAGACACTATAACGATATAATTATTATACATTCACTCAAAATTCTCTTGGGGAAATGCAGCTGTTATAGTGATGAATAAGTAAGGTCACAAGTTGTGCCAAGACACGTTATATTCTAATTGTAATACTAAGTTTTAATCGTTTTGCGGTAGCAATGGTTGACCGTTACGTACAGGTATACGTTAAATTTCTCCTCTGCCTTCCCAACTTCTCACTTACAACAGTAACCCATCCACTAGCGAAGTATGTCCGTCTTTTTATGTACAGATACATTTTCGTTTAAACCATATCACATTAAAACGCATACATATTGGCGATAACGCTTTTATAAATTTTCCGGGGGTCGAAACTCCTCTGCCCCCTTATTTCTCGAGTAAAAAAGGTATTAGTCCCCTCTCCCGATTCGATGTCCCTCCGCCAGGTCACGGCGGCTATTGTGTCGTATACCCGAATTCGTATACGTAATACAGTAAAAATGACTTGACGGATTATATCGCAACGTCGTTGTCGACGAATACGACAAAAACCGTATATGTAAACACGACGAGCGCGTCGGAAGACAAATCGCGGGAAAACGCCAAGAGGCGATAATAATATATTCGTACGTGTATACAGCCGGCGTATATTCAATGTCGGAGAGGGAAGGGGGGGAAACGATGATTTTTTTTTTTACTTATTCTTTTCTCACGTCGCGTTTAAAGTCGTCGTATAGGTTTCCGTCACGGGCACAATCGAATACATCTGATATAGGTATACATACTACACCGTACACGGATAATAATAATAATAATAATAATAATAATATCCTACTCGACGTTTTTCTCGCACACATTGTTCCATGAAGCCCATTATGGCGGTCCGCGTTATCGTGACGACGACGGCGGCGCCGCAACGGTAAACACTAAAAGTTGAAACTCATTTTGCACCGCGCGTTGTCAACACACTCGGCGGAGGCGCGAAGCCTGTGGATGACATTCGATTCCCTTTGAACGCCCGTTATATTCTCCTCGTCTTCTCCCCTCAGAGTTTTTTTTTCTTTTTCTTTTTTTTCACCGTCTGTAATTTCTTCTAGAACGCCATTACTTTTTTCGCGTTTCCGGCATACCTATATACACGTATATATGTATACTTACGGCGGCGGCGTCGGTTGTGTCTACTTATCACCGTACGCGCCGCGTGTATATATATTTCATTATACTTTTCGCCGTTTTTTTCCTGTCATCATAATATATGTATATACCCTCTTTTTTCCGGAGGAAGAGGAGGAGGAGGAGCGATAAGAGACCGTCCGGAAAACGTCAAGTCGACACGCCGTGAAACAAAATATACGAAACGCGGGTCGTAAAAAGCTAATTAGACAAAAAACAGTAAGACCGAAGTTACGCGAAAGCGCGTTTGCCGTCACCGGATTGGCGGCCGGCGGATCATTGACACGGTAATAATTTGTAAATTTTTTTTTTTTTTGCGATTTCGAAAGAAAAATAATGTTTCTGCAGTATATTATATAAACAAACGATGACGGCGGTATTTATCTGTGAGGGTTAGGTATATACTACGGAATCGATGTTGACGGACGCGTATTTATTATGCGTCCCGTAATGGACGGCCGATAATTTGACATTTAAAAGCGATATCATTTTGGTGGGTTTTTTTTTTTTGTTTACAAAACAATCGCAAACGCGCTCCATGGCAATTATCGATATGACGATGGCACGAAAAAAAAAAAAAAGAAAGACGCGAAGTATAAATCACAGGTAAAAACTTGGCGGTTAAGAAATTAATAAAAAAAAAAAAAAAAACAACGCGGTTTTAAACGTATTTAATTCACCGTGAAAACGATGATAAATCGAACGCCGCGGTATTATTATATTATCGCGGTTGTTGTTATGATGACCCGAATGATACTATCGTGTAATATCTTCATTTCGTGTACGGCGAGAAAAATCACCGGGGTCTGAAAATAATAGTATAATATTTTAGAAGAATAGAGTTTATTTTGATTAATGGTCGTACTTATAAAATAATATTACAATACCCGACTAAATATAATGTTCTTGTATATATTGTACAGTCGATTATTAAAATAAACATTCTATTCATTCGGAATGGGATACACGGAAACGTCCCGCGTCCAACGAATAGTAGGTATAAATTAATAGTTGTATACACGACTTAAATATTGTACGTTTTTTTTTTTTTTTTTATGAAATACTATACTATTCGATTACACGGTGTTTAACGGCGAAAATCTATTAGTTTGACGTATTCTAAAAAAAGAAGAAGACGAAATTGCCCATACTATTTTATACGTTAAAATGTATTCCGCTATAATCTTATACCGGCTTAACTAAACGCAGTGATTGATTATATTATATATACATATATATATATATATATGTATGGATTGCAAATGAAATTAAGTTGTCAAGCCCCGGAAACGTAATAGATATTTAATTAGTATTTATGTCGTTTTTTTTTTTTTAAAAAAAAATAATAATTTTCATTTAAATTTGAGAACTTTCAATCTGAATATATATTTATTTTTTTTAATAACGCACTTTTTAATGCAATTCATTGTAATACGTAACATGTACAAGGGTATTTAATATTCTGGCGATCGTATATTATAATATACGGAAAGGGCAAATCGTATTTTATTAACCAACGAAATATTTGTTTATAAATTACGATGGGATAATATTACTTATATAGTATAACTAATACAATTTCAAGTATTTTTCATATTATCACGGAAGGGTAAGAGTTAACCGATAAAATTGACCCTCTCGGTACATCGCTGAAGATAGCTGCCGAACTTCAGTTTTACACACTCGTATAATATATAGTCGATTATCTAGAATTTGATTCTAGTCGGTTATCCGATATAGTTTTATTTTTGTATTCCATTTAGACTTGTGTAGCCATTAAAACCGAATCTTTTCATTCTTCCCTACCATCATAATATGATATTTTCTAATCTCGGACTACTATACACTATCCATTTCCGGCGTGATCTCGTTTCTTCCGTTTCTCCGCCCGTGATCCTCTTCATCGGTCTACCGTCCGCTAACGTGTCCTTGTTCATTCCAGCCATGTGTCCCTGATGAACCTAATCGCTTTTTCCCTTTTTTAAAGCTCAATAATCTGCTTATTCGATCATATTACCCATCTCCGCTCTTCTGTATTACACATTGGAGACCACGAATCTTAATATCTTCCTCTCAAAGTTTTTCTTCGTCGCTTTTCGCAGTGGCTCACACTGACACGCAGCGAGGACAAGTCTTGCGTAACTAATGTATATAGTTTTCGAAGTAACGTCTATATTTGCCGCCGAAAGTCTAATATTTATTTTGTCATTTATGTTATTTTTATTGTCGTTTTATAGTCCGTACATAAACCTATTTAAAATACTACAAAATATACGCTTTTATAATAATTGTGAATAAAATAAAATATGTATACGGTTGATACAAAAATAATACGCATTACTCAACTGTTGCGAAAACTTTAATATTAACGAAAGAAATAAAAATAGTTTAATTTGTATAACATTTTTTTCTTTTTTTTTTCTTCGAACTCGAACAACTTAATTCAAAGCGAATAAATAAAATATGTACAAATAATGACGTGACAACAACAAAAAAAATAAATCTATAATGCTTTTACAGTTATCTATTATTATTATCACCATCATCAAATTATTGATGAGGTCTATTGTGTGTATTTCGGTATTCGATTTAATATATTCCCGAGTCGTGCATTAATAATGGTACTCGTATTAAAAAAAAAATCCTATAACAAATAACTTAACTGCAGATTTACGTTTATATAAATACATAATTATACATCCATAGAATATAAAATGCACGTCGAATACGTTTTATCAAATATGTAATGGGTAATAATAGAATACCGTTTGTATAATATTATAAAAATAATTATTGCGTACACATCAATGTCTGAGCGTCTACATTACGATATCAATGTAAATGTATTTATCATGAAATTGCATTGAAAAAAAAAAATAAATAATGAATTCGTGTAGGTACCCATCACAAAAATTAGGTATTATAGGCACCTATACTTAAACTTAAATTATTTAGGAAACCGGGATAATTTGTGAAATAATAATAACGAACACCGTTATGGCAATAATACATAATTAAGGATGATCCAACGCCCGTAAAGTTCATCCCCCTCCACCGAACTTTCTCGTTTCAACCCGGTTTCGTATTTTTGTAACTAATTTGCGACTTTTTGCAACTTTTAAATAAAAATATACGCAACTTCATACTTTTTCCGAAATCAATCGTTTTCATTGGTGAGGCCAAATTCACGTAGCATACCCACTTTGTCCGATCCTATACTTATTAATTACTTTTATTTTATAACCCTTCCCCACTCGTCTGATCTAAACTTTTAACTGTTATAACTCACAAACGGTAAATTCGATATTAGTATGGCGGTATCGAAATTTGTAGAAAAATATCCTCTGTTTGAATCTAGGTTTAAGAGGGGAGGAGTCTAGTAATATGTTTTATACTCAGTGCCGGTGTAGGCGCAAAAAAAAAGAAAAATAGCATTAAAACTTAAAAGATTCCATAATGATTAAAAACCAGACATCAAATCCCCTTAAAATCCTCAAAATAAATCGCTGGTTCGTGACAAGTGGTTCACCGTGTATTTTACCGGCATTATAACTTTACGAAATTCGCAAGACCTCCGACGGATAACAATCCGACACAATCGAATGATAGCATGAAAAACCAAACGATTATTACATAGTATAAGCGATGATACTCAACGAAAATAACAACTTTCAAAACTGAATATCTCCGGTTCAGCTTTATTATAAGTATACGTTTAAGTTAAACGTAAAACTACCATACTGCCAAACTGTAGAGGGGTTTACAAAAAAAAAAAAAACAAGAGATAGGTATTTAGGTAAGTATAGCTTATTAAAAGATGAAAAAAAAATAAATAGTATATTTACACCGGTCTGTATAAAAAGTTACACGAAGAACGCAAAAAAAAAAACACCAAGGTAATTCGTTGACAGCGGTTTTTTTTTTAGTTCATCTTTTCCATTATTTTTTGTTCGCCGTCACGAGAAAAACATTTAGTGCAAATAACACGCGTAAACTGCGCGATACGATCGGCTTTTATTTTTTTATTTTGGCTCTACCGGGCGGCGATAAAAAAAAAAAAAAAAAGTAAAAAACCACTAAAACCCCGGGGAAAAAAAAACCAACATTTTTATATAATTTATTATATTTTAGCGACGACTTTTTTTTTTTTCTTCTTCGGCGTCATCGCGATTATTATGTCGTGCCTGAGTACACTCCGACTGCAGACGTCGGAAAAACAGATTACAACAACAATAATATAAATTTAATTAGTATTGTGACCGCGTGTGATGCGTTGTTACTGTCCGTATTTTCCCGTTATTATTATTGCCTATACGCTTACTGCCGCTTGTTTAGACTTGCTTATATTATACGGACTCGGCTACGACGGCGGGGTAACGGTATATACGTGTACGTAGTGATGCGATATTATAAACGCTCACGTCCCGACAACAATCGCGTCGCAAAATAAAAAAAAAAAACCAGTTAAAAAAAAACACTGGAAACGGTCATAACGCCGCGCCAAATCCCCTACACCCCCCTCCCCCTCATCCGTAAGTCGAACAGGTGTGCGTGTGCGTGTACGTGTACGTGTGTGTTTAAAACGTTTTATATCGGACGGACGTACACATTAAAAGCGTGTGAGAAACGAAAAAATCGCGGAAAAATCCAATCGCGGAAAAAAATAAGTTTAAGTAAGACCCTGAGCAATAATTCTTCAAACGATTCCAAACTTACCAAGTATTCGGCGATCATATACTTTGGCGTAAAAATGACGACGGCGGCGGGTAGAGGGGTGTAAGAACGTTGCGAGATTTCGCTCAATAATAATAGCCGACGACCGTCGAACGCGCGAAACGTATACGAAATGACAACAATAGGGCGAATTTTCGAGAGCCACAAATCAACCCCCCCCCCATTCCGTCCCGTACACACTGCGCGGTATAACGAATAAAAAATATGTATTTTTTAACCGTAAAAATAATATATATTCAAGCGATACGACCGTCTATATTTAAAGCCCAAAAAGTATATTATAACGGCATAATATACGACGATACGATCGTTAAGTTTCAAACTTTTTTCCCCCCGTTTTAGATTCTGAGCGTAACGAGAAATGTATTGGTTTATTTACTATGATAATGTGCGCTTTTTATCATTATTACTTCCGCTTGTAAACCACTTTTCTATCAGAAATCTCGCTCCAATCAAAAAATGACAAAAACGATTTCCGGTGTAAATCATTTGGATCTAGTCGGCGCATCGATGAGATTATGCATAATATGTTTTTATTTTCCGAGTAGTTTTCATAACAATTTTCGGTCAAAAATAACCGTAGAGATCTGAAGTTCTATTGACGCGATAAAATGTTCGAAATACGTATTCCGGCCGTTTTCGAAAAATGTATAAGCATTTTAAATTTTTGGATCGCGGGGCATTCCGCGTAAATCAGCGCGGTTAAGTTGTTGCCGCAGCCGTGTGTAGAGACGGAAATCCGGGCGGCATGCAAATTTAGAAACTCGAGGTACCTTTCAAACGTTTCACGTACAATAGTGGCACACCCGACAGCAGTATCAGCTCTTTTTATCGTGTGCGTCCAAACTATAATATAGTTTCACTATAATAAAAAATAGCGCAGTACTGCATGACAATACTCCCTTACCCTAGAACCCGAATTTAAAATCCCGACTCGAAAATCACGTCACGAGTTAGTTTGCAATTATTTACTCGAACATCGGAATTCGTTACCCCGTTTTAACACTCTGACTAAACCGTGTTTTTATTTTCGGATGTTATTGATCGTATACTCTGTACATTAAGTACAAGGAAACAATGCGTGCACAAATTAGTCACCGCCAGCCGGTTCTACAGCACGATTACTATATCGACGTACATGTATTTCCATTCGTTGTTTTTTTATTATTATTATTATTTTTAATATCAATCCATCCCGCGGTTTATTCTCGCTCAGCAGGGCCTAAAAATAATGTGTTTTAGAAATGTGCCGCGGACAAAATGTGTTTCTTCTGAAAGGGCGCTAAAAGAACAGCGCCCCAGAGTGCTATAAAACGTAAATACGCCTCTGGTTTCTTACACATAAGAGCATACTTTTTATACTAGGTCGCCGAATTCTTTCAAAATTGTATACGGAATTACAGTTTATTGTTTAGAATAGGCGCGCTCGGAAACCGGGAACTTAGCACGCGCGCGCCTTTCTAAACTCGTTTTTTTTTTTGTATACATATATATATATATATATATTTAAAATAAATAAATACCTATAATGTATACGCATATATTAGTGTAGACCGTATTATTATTGTACACACGCTAATCGTGTGTTGACGTCATCGATGCAATTCGCTTTTATCGAATATCTGTTCACTTATTATTTATTTTTAGCCTACCGACGACACGGCGTGGATACGTTCGCAATGTTTTTCGACTCGGTCCCTCCTCGCTTCCCACCGCGCCACCCGTTAACGGACCGGCGGTCTGTTGTACGGGCGAAACCTCTCGGACGCGTAATATCAGCTGCGAACGGAGTACCATAACATTGTTACACGCACGGTTGTACGATATGGGTTTCGGAATCGTAATCCGCAACTGTGGCCGACGCGACGACGACGTTTCGTATCGCGAAACAAAACAAAAGGAACTCGTAGGAAATTATTATCGTCGAATAGAAAACATTCGTTACGGACACGCCGGGTCGTTGTGTCCGTGATGACTGTATACTACCACTGCCGCTGTTACTACTACTACTACTACTACTAATAATAATAATAATAATAACAATAATAATAGAACGTTATACTCGCAGCGCTATACAGTCGTGTGTATAGTACGTACGTAGGAACTACGAGATTTCGGGAGACGCGGTACAGCGATAATAACAGCGCAGTGGTCGTCGTCGTCGTCGTCGTCGTCGTCGTTTTCGGACGGTGGTGTTGACTTTGCGGGACGACCGACCGGTTTTATCGTCGTGGTCCGTCGTCCGTTTCTGTGCGGTTATAACGCCGCCGCCGCCGCCGTGCGAGTGAATACAAGACCCGAGAAAATTACGTTTCCTACGCGATAATAAAACCGCGTATCGTATAATATGCTGTGCAGTGTGATTGTCTCGTAGCGCGTATGCGTACGATAATATTACGTACGTACTGAGCATAATGTGACGACGACCTTGGAACGGTAGTGGAAAAGAGACGGAAAAAAAAAAAAAAACGAAAAAACGAAATAAAACCGAACAGTCTACAATAGAAACGCTCTAATAACTCGCGCGTTGTAACACTCGATCTTCCTATTATATACGTACACCCGGAGTAATAACGATAATATTACGGACACGCGAGACGATCGTACCCGTTTGAAACATATTATAATATTAGTAATTACGTGTATTTTCTTTTTTAAAGAGGAAAAGCACACGTAGAAATTGTGAAAACATTGTATTATACGAAGGTGCTTTTTTTTATTTTTTTTTTTTTAGCGCGCGTCGTTGTCCGACATTAATTCGAAAAAAATAACAATAATTATAATCGCGTAAGAGGAATTTTGTGTCTCTTTCTTTCTACAACGTCGTCGTCATCGAAAATAACACAATAATCGTTTAAACCACAATTCACCGCTCGATTCGAGTATTTATTATTATACAGACGACAATACATTTGATTGAGAAACTTAAAAAGAAAAAAAAAAACTCGTCAGTAGATTACACAAAAACGATACCCGTCATAATATATGCATTAGTATAATGAAAATTACGCGAAATGTAAAAAAAAAAAAAATTTGTACAATTATCGATAAGACAAATAATAGAAACGACGAAATGATTTATCAAGAAAATAATTCTCGTCGGACTGTTCAATCGAGTTTTTTTGGTATACGCTAAATTGTATAATTAGTTCAATTAACATTTCAAATTTAAAATTAAAAAAAAAAAACACAGAAAGTAAACTAATCTTGTGCATTAATTATAGTAACACAATGAACAGTTAATGATGATATTTTTAAACATTTTGAGTGATATAAACATTATTGTGATGTGTCAGTGTATACATTTATATAGTGTTCTGTGATTGATACTGTGTCTCGAAAAACATATATATATTTTTTTTTTTTTTATGAATTCGTCTGTACAAACAAATAAAAACGTTTACAAAATTAATTTCGACTTGTTTACAATATTCATAATTCGGAGCTAAAAACCGGTTACCGGTTCTCGTAATAAAGAAAAAAAAACTATAATTTAAGAACTATGACGCGATAGCCGTTTTTGTTTTTGAAAATTCGAAAGCGGCAATCGATTAACCGAAATAATTAAACGAAATTTCCCCACTGAAAAATGTTACGTCACTATATTATTATCCCGAAATACATTAATCGCATAGGAGGTAAATTTGAATGAAAAAACCGATTATCAGTTCAGAAAAACCGAGGTTTTTCTTCCCCTGCAAGCATTCAACGATAATAATTGAAAACAATGATATATTTTGAATTAACTCGGTATGATTTTTCTGGAATGTACCTAGGCTTATTTTTATCGATAGATCCGTAGGTATTTTTTTTTTTTTATTTAACGAAGTTTCGCAGTAGTTTTATCGTATAATACAATATTAATTATAATACTGAACAAGGTAGTTTGATGTTTTTTTTTAAAATATCGCATTATCGCAGTAGTCAGAAACATTAATGGGCCCATTACCACCACCTCCCCTATCCTTCTCGTCGTTACCCGACAACCCGCTGTAGTTTCTTGTCCATTAAATTTAAGTCCGTGATTATTAGTTATTTACAACAGTATTATCTTGTTTTCTCCGATTTTTAGTTTCGTAATGATAAATATTAATTAATAGAATATATAGTGAGAACGCTGAACTGTTTTTAAAAAAATACGGTGATACGGTTAAGTCGCATATGATTATCGTCGTACCGTAGGCATCGTATCGCCGTAATCCATAGGTTTCCATACCTGAAAGTGTATTTACAGTGTGAATAGGCCGACGCACTTCACCACATCTGGTTCGCGACATTTTCCATTATTATTGAGATAGGTGGCATAAATACCACGGGTGGGCGAGATGGGCAAATGCCACGGGCCCACGAAACGGCTAAGAGGTTTGGCTATAAATCGGCTATAGAATCGTATACCCTCCCCTCATAGATTTTTATCACGAAAGTAATATCGAATTCATTTTATTATAATAAACGTATATATACCTGTAGACAATATCTACACGCGAATTATGAACAACAAATCATTGGCACATTGGTCATAGAACACAGACGACGTGGAAACGATAACAGCCGAAAAAAAATCCCTTTAACGTGTAGAAAATAGTAGAAAACGTAGTTTACTACGACCAAAAACTCCGATACGCACATTGAATCGCCTTTTATTGACTTTATTTTGTACGATTGTAGGCGGTACGACTTAATTAAAAACCGTACATAAAAACCATTAACTATATCGGTGACCGCACATTAATAGGCGCCTCCTAATTATATTGTCGTAATAGACAATATGAATCACTGTAATTAAATACTATTGACACTTGTTGGGTTTTTATTTATTTTTTTTCTATCCTTTACACAATGATTAAATTCTCTAAACAAAAATAATTCGTAAAATGCAGTTAATCAAAGTCGATCCAAACACAACTAAATAATCAATGAACTTGATTACATTTACTTTATTCATCCCTCTAATTATGATAAGTACGACTTCTTCGAGTTTGCGTATTTGTTTTGCGCCAGAAAAAAAAAAGGCTAGAAAGAAATTTGCTTCGAGTTAGTGACAAACCAGATTTTTAATTTTTAATTGTATACACCGTAATATTATATATATTTTAAGTATTTTTTTTTTTTTTTTTGCTTTTTGCTTTTTTGCATAATTACTCATAAATAACATTTACCAAAAGGACAATCGTCAAATATTGAAAATTATATTTTTTAGAAGAAGAAACATTAAATTAAATAAATCAAACCCGTCAATCATTTGACACCAATCTTATTAATTAAATCGATAAAAAGTAAAAGTGATAAATTCATCAAGTAATAAAAAGCGTTCTATATTCGTTTGGTTATAAAACGTCATAGAATTAAATTAGGTGCTTACAGCCTAAGAGATTGTTTTTCTTGTTTTAGATGTTTTTAAATTAAAAAAAATGTAAAGCGTGTTTTAAGACTTTTAAACACAAAAGTACTTGCATGTTTAGTGCATTTTTAGAGCTACATATCGTCCGTCCTAATGAGAAGAGTGCACGTCCTTATGTAGTTTATTTTTAAATCTCAGAGTAGAAATATAATATTATACTGCAGTAGGCCTGTCCCTATATATTTAAAAAAAAAAAAATTAAATGCGAGTTAAACATATTTGGAAAGTAAATGTTTAATGTTAAGATTGTAACATAAAGGTATAAAAGCTTATGTATACCCGCGGTATTATAAAACTATATTATAAAATATTATTAATCTCGTCACAGATAACTTTCGCCATCGTATTTATATGCTTTAGAGCGTGTAAAATAGATGGAGAAAAACGCTATAAATCAAACACGTTTCAGATTTTCTTTAATGATAAACCACCCCGGAGTTTTATAGTATATACAGTATATACGAACTGAATTTGTCCCACGTGACCCAGAAAGAACCGCTGAAACAATAAATAAAAGTAATACGGTTTTTCGACTACACAGTACACCGCCGCGTTGAGTTTTAGACGGATAAATGGCCTATAAAGAGTACATTATGACCTATCCTTATCGCATAATAATTTCTCGAACCCTTTTCAAAGTGTATATATATATACAACGATCGTTTATATAATAATGTTTTATAAATCTAAAATTGTTCGCAAACTATACATGTATGTATTCAGAAACGGCTGAACGTTCGGCGGAACTCCGTACTTTATCACGTTATTGCATTTCGAATAAGTACATCATAATAATGTGTATATTAATATAATATATTACTATAGCATATAAATTATTGTAAAAACTATCTCGACTCTGCCAAATGTTTAGTGTAATATTTTCTGTTTAATGTAATTATATAGTATATTATACTGATATGTACTTATCACGTGTTTCGTGTGACAAGAGAATGTCGATAAGATTTAAATTTAAGTTCTACAAAAGTACGGTGAGACCGACTGTGCTGTATAGTACGGAGTGTCGGGTAGTAGACGAAAAAATATGGAATAATAAGAAATTGCACTAATTTAGTATAATTTAGTACTAATTTAGTTATAAGAGATAGTTTGGGCGTGGTAGTACAAGTAGTTCGATAGTAGACGACAAAATGGGAGAAAATAAATTTAGATGGTTTAGGGATGTTTAAGGAGAGAGGCATCTGAAACAGTAAGAATTTTAATGGAAGTAAACGTAGGATAAAAGAGGCGGAGATGAAGACCGTGGTTGCGATTGAAAATTATTGTACGAGGATGGCCGGTGTATGCGAAATGGGATATCGGGTCAAGTAAAAGTTTAGGACGAGGGTGACCTACCCCAAACAGTTGGGGCGATGGCGAAAGAAATTTAAAAAAATACAATATTAATGTTTTACATTTTCATTTTTTATCACACTTCTTTCTGCCTTACCCAGTTTAACCATAGAATATTCACATAAAACATGTCTATACATTAATTCAATATCAACTAAATTATTTTTTTTTTTTTTTTTTTATTTATATCTAAAGGCTGCGCCTTGTCGCTGCAAGAAAACTACAATTTTAAATTTCAATTACAAAGACGGATTACAACATTTTATTATGCACAATACAATTGTTTGTTTTCATTAAAAACGAAAAAATAGCTCGAGAATTTGACACTAATATATTGATCTTTAAATTTAAATCAAATATCGAATACAAACAAATTGTTTACGTAACATACACGTATATCAACATCCGTGACAAAAACATTGGCCGGGTATAAACATGGATATTTTTACTAAACGAAAATAATTTTAAAAATAAGGCTGATTTATTATTCTATGTTTATCGAACTGAACGAATACGTTTCATAAAACAAACTATACAATTACATAATATTTCACAGTAATAACGTAGGCTTTCGATAGGCGAGATTTTACGCATTGCCGGGGATATTTTGTTAAAACCCGAAGAACCCGCGCGTTTATTTATATTCCGCCAACTCTATGTGTGCGATTAGCGTCGCGGGTGACCAACAATCCTTGAGAGGGTCAAAAGACTAACCGGGGAACGAAGACGAGTGACGATGAAAAATGACTCTCGGAGATGACCGCCACCCCCCACCTCCGCCCCCCCCCGACACCGTCCGATACAAACCCTCCCCCCTCAGCCGTCTATGTCCTTTTCGACATTTCTCCCGACCGCACACGTAAATGGTTTTAATTTCGTATCAAGGACCTATAACTACACGGCAAGTCGGTCTCGGGGGAAATACCTCGTGTGTCTAGCGTACCGTCACTCCCTTCTCGGGGCGGAAAAAAAAAACCCCCGAATGATTTCCCTTCTGGTTTTCGACCGTCGGGCCCCGGACGCGCAGAATGCGGTTCGCAAATACGCGTCGCGAAATTCGGGTCTTTCCGTGTACGTTACAATACGATATAATGTGTGAATTCGAGACGACTTTTTTTTATTTCGCCAGGAAGTTCACGCATCGCCGGTAAAGGTCGCGGCGGAAACCTCCGGAGGGGGAAAACCGTATAGGCGTATAGGGGTATAGGGGAGGCGTATAGGATTCACCGGGAGCGCCTATATACACACGTACACGGGCGTAGTGAGCCCACGCCGCCGTACTGCAGTGTTGTGTTATCGTACGCGAGAAGAGGGCGCGAATAATATTTCTCGAGCGGGACAGGAATATCGGAGAAATCGACGGGCGGCGTAACAAAACGATAACGCTGGCTGGGGGCCTGCACGGCGTGTTTGTCGGCAGTTTTACGGCGTAACGATACGCGATAATAAACGAACGAACCGGCAAAAGTTACGGCGTCATACCCGAATGAATGTTATAATAACAACGCGAGGTGACTCCCCGGTAATGAACAAATCCCCCCCCCCGTGCACGGACAGGGTGTTCCGTTTGAACGGGCGCACCACTCATTATCTCGGAAACCGTTCAGCAGACTTTAACTCGTCCCGTAGAACGTTTAAGAACCAAACGGCTTTGCCTGCGTCATGTTATTTTTCGGCGGGGAGGGGGGGTAAAACCTATGTTTGAAAAACAGGCGGAATATTAGTTGAATTCGATTTTCGCGTTGAAATGTTCGATTTCGTCGACGAGACACCCACTTCAATTAAAGTTTTGATTTCGATTCAAGCTTAAAATTGGAATATCTCGTTAACGGATTGATAGAAATCGAAAATTTCAACGTGAAACGGCGAAGCTGCTTGTTTCTTAAATGTTCAATAAAACCAATTCCGAAAAAAAAAAAAAATGATAGTTTCCGAGATAATGAATGTACGCGGTTAAATGGAACAATTTTTTTTTTTTATCGCTATACTATAACAGAGCCTTGCGCTACGATTTCTCCGTTTTCTAACGAAAAACTAACAGTGGAAAAAATTACTTTTATAAAATCCAAACCGGCCCGTTCTAAAAAAAATAACGTTGCAAACATCATTAACGAAATTACATTTCGCCGGTCATTTGGTGAATCGGTTGATTGTATTATTCAGTGGCGGCGCGATGAAAACAATGTAAACTACTATCGTAAACTTCGGAAAAAAAAAATCGTAGAAAATTAACGATTCATCATTATAATAGTAAATAATACACAGGAATTTTTTGTTCAAAATATATTTATAAATTCAAAATTCGAAAAAATGTATATAATAGAAGTATATTATAACGCGAGGCTCTGGTAATACAAATATCGAACAAAAGTCATTTCGGATGTCAGACGTTCGTGTTTACGTCATGTATATATTGCCGGAGAATAATACAGTCGTTTGTCACGTACCTACTGTATAGTTGCAGTGTTCTTGTGATATTCGATCAGTAATGTTTACATTAAAGTTTTTTTTATATACACATATACATACAGTAAACATCGGGCACCATCTTATCTGGTTTTTTTTTTTTCAATCCTCCCACCCCCCTATTGTCGAGGCAGAAATTATTTAAATTCCGATTCGAGTAGTGTTTATCGCGGGAAAGAAAAACCTGCTAGACGATTTTTTTTCTCGAACGAATATTAAAAAACTCTGCGAATAACCTATGTATTATTCGCGTTGACTGTAATAAAATTATATTATACAATAATAACAGCAGAGTGTACCGTCTTAAATTCGGATACTAAAAACGGGATTGCCGCGTCTCGTTCGACGGATATATTTATCCTTTGTCATCGAGAGAAAAAATACAATATTATAATAATATGTACATATTTATTTATCGTTGGGGAACAGAAAAAACAAAAAACAAAAAACACCGTAATAATATTATATTATTGGGGGCAGAGGGGGGATGGGGGAGGGTGATAAAGCCGAACGCGCGAGCAAATAAAACCGCCAGAAACAAACAGAATATAGTGTAGGATTATTTACGAGAATATTCGAAACGGACTTGGCAATGCCTGCGGGCATTCCGCAGACCGTCGGGCACGGAAATAGTATACGTCGGTCCGTATACACGCGTAACATAAATATTTTGGCTTATCCAGAAGTTTAATTGGCAAACAAAATGTCAAAACTACGACGACATCGTCGACGGATATATCGTCAGCTGCACTGTGTACGTATTCTGTCTCTAATAAAGGAAATATAGAAAATATAAATTGACGAGAACGTCGCTCGTACACAGGAGCGCGCTCACGGGGAGATAAATAGCCCCCCTCCCTTAGCCTATGAACGTGTTATTTTTTTAAATATATAACTCGTTTACGCTTTATGCATTTCCTGTCGTGTAATTATCGTCTCATTTTTTTTTTTTTTTTATTAGGATTTCGCGCCGCCGACGTCCGACCCTGTATACCTGGCGCCCGAAAAAAGTCTGCCTGCCCGCCCATGTTATATTATAACAGCGACGGCGAAACTTTTTCTGGTTATCGGTCTACTAAGTGTTTATTTTTCCTCGTGAGGATCGACTCCCATAAAAATACGTGTAATATTATTAATTGTCTAATATTAATTTAATAAACGTAATGGACGTACGACTTGTAAAACTAAAATGTATAATTAAAAATAATGTTCTTCGTCGCGCTTTTATAATACACACCGGAAATAATAAAATTGCCAGCATATACACTGTTGAAATGTATCGGTAAAAACTGACCGCAAACGATCTGTTAAGATAAAAAAAAAGAAAACGATCGGCTAGCCGCCCCCGCTGAGTACGGCTAGACAAAATGTATAGTGGCCGGGTATTGTAACGATTTATACGTGAAATTATACGTTCAACGATGATTTTACGTCCGGAATAATTGGACATAATAATTATTCACATCAACCCTCCCTCTACCCCCGCCCCCCCTCCCAATACGAAAAGGCTGAGCGCGCCACACGGTCTCGCGTATTAAACACGTACAATTTTTTCGGACAAGAGAAGGCGGTCGTCGATAACGAGATATATACAACAACAACAACAACAACAACAATAATAATAATAATAATAATTATTGTTTAAATTCGAAACATTATTTATTGTATTTTACGTATTCGGTCGTCCGACAGACGCCGCGCCGGCGAGGGAATTCTTCCCGATAAAATCACACAAGAGACTATGCTCGTATTATAAGACCACGACGACGGCGACGCTTTATATTATAAAGGATACAGACAATAATTCCGTTTCGAAGGACACGAACCGATATGATTTTACACGGAGAGGAGCAAACACACACGCGCGCGCATTATTATTATTATTATATTTTATCTCTCGGGATGAATAATAGAGCCGGGTCGAAACACGCCGTAGTCGTAGTCGTTCTTTCCCACACGCGCGCGTTTCGTTTTTGAATAGAACACGTGTTGTACGAATCCTGAGAGAGACACGTTTCGTGAAAATCATATTAGTATACGAGAGCGCTGTTATACATATATGTAATAATATAATACGACTATTATTTAACGGGCCAAGGACACGGAGAAAACTCCGAAAATAACGATCACGAACTACAACAATGAACGGCCATAAAACCGAACCCAATAACCTATGCGCGGCTCTGCTACATTACGTACGACGACGACTCTGTTAAATACCGCGGTGGTAAATCATCGGGTTTTCGAATGCCGAGATTCGTTGGATTTTTTTTTTTCCGGATCGAAATAACAAGAACGCGCTACACGATTTAATAATATACAATACGAATTATAACTATAAATGTACGAGAGATAAAAAAAAAAAAAAAAAAAAAAAACAACACGTTTAACCGATAAAAATAAAAATAATATAATAAGAACAAATCGGAATCGTATATACCTAAACGACAATAGACATTGTTCGAAAACCCCGATAAACAAAAATCGATACGCGCGGGTATAACGGACGTGGGGGAGAGGGGGGGGGGAAATAAAAAATGGAAAATAAAAGTGAAACGCGACGATTTTGAAACTTCATGTTTTCCAACGTTGGGCGTTAAATACGCGAAAATTATAGTGTACGACGGCGGTTAATATTCGAAAAAACGATTCGGTACGAAATTATACGATAAAAGTACACCTGTTCTTGGCCGAGAGTTCGGAGTTTTTCGAACTCGCATAACTCGTATAACAATACCTGCGCCGCGAAAAATCGGGGGAGGGGAACCGACTTAAAAAACCGCGAATTCCGGTAACGGAAAACGGTTCCGTAGCGCGTCGGTGCGAATGACGAGTAAAAACGATAATTAGTATTATTGTTATTAGTATTGTATTGACTAATCCGATCGAAACTCCGCTCCGCCCGTCATGTTCGCGCCCGCGTCTCGGGCGTAAACGCGTACTATTTAGTCCTTCACCCCCCCCCCCCCCCCCCGCCCGCCCGCCCCTTCTCCTCCTTTACCCCACCGATTCGGATTCCCGGCTGCGTGTCGCAGCGCGCGAAAACGAACACAACAAACACAAAGGCACGTTACGCGCGATACGGGACTGAACGGGTCCGTGTCGTATCGGGGGGACGCGGGGACGGGCCGTCTATCTCGCGTCTCTGCTCGTCCGTCCGTCGAAGAATCGTAGGTACGCCGCCGCGGCGATGATGTCGCGTAAAACAAAACGGAGAGATTCTGCGCGCGCGGCACTCGAACGGCGCCGCGGCGGTCGTACTGTGCTACGGGGAGAAGACGATTATAGACAAGATAGATAATAAAAAAAAAAACAAACCAGTTTTGAAACCGTATCGTCGGTAATAATAATAATAATAATAATGCGCCCGTGCGTTACACCCGTCATTATTATACGTATTATTATATTTGTACAGCGTGCGACAAAAGTCCGGAAACCTCGGGCAAATGACCCGACGGTGACCCAGATGGGTCGGAGCTACGGAAACCGAGTAAACTCCTCGCCGTCCTCGTCGCGCGTCGTCGTAATAATATTGTGTTATAATAACCCACACACACACACACACATTCGGCCGGCGGTAATGTACACGGATGTATAATATTATGGGCGCCCGTACACAGGTAAGATTAATAATACGCGTGGCCGTGTACAATAATGTTCGATTGCGCGGCGTCGGTGTGTCGGACATCCGAAAACCGGTGGAAGAAAGAAAAAAAACCGTCGACAAAAGAAAGGAACGATTGTTTTTTTTTTCACTCCGCCGCGGAAAAGCGCGAGCGCGCGCGCATTACGCCCGTTCTATTATTAAATGACCGTATATACACCTATTGCTATAATATTATAATACCGGCGAACTGCGTACAAAAAATAATAATAAACCAACAACAACAACAACAACGCTATAAGTGTATCGTAAAATGTCTACGGGTTATTTTTATTTATTTTTTTCCACGCTATACGCTTCGAGATTCCGGATATCCTCGTCGTGTTAGTTGACCGGAACCCCCTCGCGCGCTGTAAGCGCACTGTGCAATAATTTTATACGAGGGGAGGGAGGGAAATAAATGCGATATTATCGAAAAATGTCAACGATAAGACACGAAGGGAGCGGGAATGAAAAAAAAAAAAAAAAAAAGAAGAAAACCGAGGCACGTTGGTTTTCTCGATATTCTATTATCGAGAGTTCCATTCGTTTTCCCCTAATAATATAGGTATGAGTAACGTGCGGGTCGTGTTATTAAAAATTAGTTTTGTTACACACAATATTATAGTCGCGGCGGATAAGAATAAAAAAGTAAAAAAAAAGACCGTATTATCATAATAATATTCGAATTAGTTTCAACTGCGTATAGAACCATAATAATAATAGGCCTGAACGTAATAACAATATTTTGTATCGTTATTTTCTTACTGCAGTTTATCGAGTTACACGAACTGTGTATACGGAGAATATTTTCATAACAAAAAAATGGAATATTTGACTACATCCTATAGAAAACCGTATCGTTCTTGTTCATCGATTTTTAAACACGACACGCCGACAATAATATTTTTGTACGCCGATTCTAAGCCGCACACACTGCACGTTCTGAACGAATTTACGACGAGAGATAATCGTATTTAAAATTCAATAGGTCGTATAAAACGTCATAACACATAGACGTACACACTGCACAGACCTCATTGGCCGGGGCAGGAAAGCCGCGGGAGAGGACCGGGAAGCGCGGATCTATTGTATTTTTCCGTGAAAAAAAAAAAATGTCGAATATTAAAAATGCATTGTATAATATATGACTATCGATTGCAGATGGTTTATACAATAGTATTGTACAGATATTTTTACGACTCGCGCCAATGCGTCAGTGGCCAGCGCAAGAGGGAGGGATTCGTCCTCTCTCCTTTAAACCGTTTATCTTAAAAATATATGTTTCGGTCAAGTTACAAGGAGAAAAAGCTCGAAGCTTTACTGAACAGGAGTTCGCTTTTCAGGATCCGGCTGGGCTAGGAATTATAATATTTTCATAACATATTATATTACGTATATTAATATAATTATAATAGAAGAAAATCCCGCGATTAATAAATCGATTGGATCGGGTTTATTATTTATTACCTCCCGTCGGCGAAAAGGGCACGTTGCTGTACGCCACTGCGTCAACGGTAAAGTGATCGGCCTTAACCAGAACCGAAAAAACAACTTAAATCGCCTGATGGTTAATTTACGCAAGTGTAATTCGTTTTCTTTTAAGTTCAGGGGAATTTGTGCGAGGCAGGGTGGGTGGCTGCCCCGCGCTTATCGGTCAATGTATAATGTACTGATCGCGGGCTATTATTAAAATCATATCTACGAATTGAACGCACACTATTATAATCAATTATGTATAATTTTTTTTAACCATCATAATAATTTTGAACATCGAGATAAACGCAATTTCATTACTAAATAACTTATTGGTTATTGAACGGTCGAATTACTCGACGATTTACACGAAAAGAAAAAAATAATCTGTTTTTTTTTGTTCCTAACAATACATTACATTTTTAAACCACCGATTATGTTATTATACATACGAACAAAAACAAAATTTAAAAAAATATCCGACGAAAATTATTTAAGCGACTTATAGAAAAAAAAAAAATAAATGTAAATACATTCTGAAATAGTTAATAATAGAAACAAGTTGGGTGTGAGGGGGAGGGGGGTTGTGGTTAATACCTAGCTATACCGTACAGCAATCACGTCGAGTCCTGAAACATCACTCATAAATTATGCGAGATTATTATTATTATTATGAATCGTAATCACAGACTGGTCGCGTCGTCCGTTTAGACGCGCTGCGCCGTTCAATCACATTATGTTAATTATAGTATTAAAGACTACGCGGCGATGTCAAAGTCCGTACCCATCCGGATGTTTTATTTGTGTTGATTTTAACCCGGTAATCAACCATATTAATAATTTCTCTTTACTTTCGCGAGTCAATTGGAGGGGGGGGGGGTGGATTCGTATTTTTTTAGACTTCAAAAATAGACCGGCCGGACTCGCGGAGGACAGACATTCGGTATCACTCCACACAACCGCCGGGCAAATACACGACTGCCGAGCACGGGCGAAACACTGCGGGTCAGGCCTGTCTGGCCGTGGCCCGACCTAATGCTGTTTGGACCGTGTACCGACTCGGGAGAATTTAAAATTAAAAAAATTATAAACTCGAATTGCGCATCTAAAATGTTTACGGTTTTTAGATTCTGAATATAGCGAAGAATGAATTGGTTTTACATAGATGTCTATTCGTTTACTTTATGCGAACGCTTTTCCTACCAGAAAGCTTACTCCGGTTATCAAGTATAGCACCTTTTCTGAACGGAAATAATCTAATTTAGATTGGTCATTTTTTGAAATTCTCATGTACGTTTTATCGTAGCTTACAGACGTACGTTAAATTCCCGTCTGTATACTTCCTTCCCAACTTCCTGCCTACTAAAGTGTGGCTGCGTCCACGTGCGAAGTATGTCCGTCCATTTTTTTTTTTTTTTTCATATTTATCATTCGGCCTGTATAAATAAATTGTCTAGTTTTGCTTATGCTACCGAGCCAATAAATATTGCTCTTGAATTTCTTGTCGGTTTATTGACTTAAAACCTTTTCCGCGTCCAGCTGAAGAGCAGTGTGGTCACAGGTAACATCGTCGTTATAATGGTTTCCAGTCGTACCGTCTAGTCCGGCTCACCGCACTACCTCACACACAAAAACCCGACGTTCTAAACGTTCCGTATACACCGAATTAGTGAAACAATAACAATAACAATGGAAATTAGGTTAAACCCGCCTCAACAGTTTACACAAAACGAAAACCCATTCATAGAAACGTTTCCATTATTTTTCGACATATCAATTTACTTAACAAAACAATCGTAGAAATCGTTTTTTTCCCTTAAAAAAGTCCCGCCTCTAAAATAACACGACGTCTTTCCGATAGTTATTTGTTTTGGAAATATGAATTTCCGCGGAAATATAATTAAGAATTTTCGATTTTGTAATAATGTTAACGTTTACTTTTCCGGCGCTCTAGATTTTCGAAACAAAACACTCTCGAAAATTTAAACGCAACATTTTAAACATACAATGTTGTTATACAGTGCAAAGGACAGACAGCAGATAGAGTAAACTGTATTTATTTATTTTCATTGTGCGCTTATAAGACGAAGTTTCTATAAATATAACACGCCATTATGAAGGATCTTGCATTTTATTTCTTTATAAATGAAAACCATCAGAAATTATATTCTTTAATTTTTTTTTTTAAATTTTTAAATTCAATTACGTTTCGACCGAAAATAACACCGTCCGCGCTCGAAAAAGAAAAGAAGCAATTCGCATTAGCGATTGTCTACGTATTTTTGTACATTTCGATATTCGTGTACAATTCGAAAAAAAATATTATAAAACCGAGGAACTCCGCGGGTAATATTATTATAATATTTTGTTAGTATAAAAACCGTCGCTCTACAATCGCGTGGACCGCCATATACAGTAGCAGCAAGGGCACTCACAAGGTAATTTTCAGACGGGAGACAAAACGAAACTATAGATTCTAAAACATATTTATAGCGTATATAAATATTATATCATGGTATTACTTGAAAAGGAACAAGGAAGAAAGGGTTTATAAACATTAGATTATAGTGATAAGCAAAAATCTATAGTCATTATTATCGATACACAAGGAATATAATAACATTTATTTCGACGGACTCAAAGGGTTATACGTCGTTATTTTTTAGTATTCATTTACTTATTTATGTTCCAAGGAAATAGACATGTTCCCCTCTTGCCCCCCCCAAATGGGCGCGATCACGATTATAGTATTACATTTTGGCGTACGTATACTACATATTGTGTACTCGTTAAAAAACAAATATAAATATATATATATATATTTTTTAATACCCAGGTAAATAATCGTGATTTAATTACGCGGGAATTCGCAAACGCAATTTCTTCGGTTTTCCCAGGGAAAACCCGATAAAACGAGACACGGGATACGAATGGTTTTTTTTTTTTGTTGAGCTATCGACTGTACGCGAAATTGTTCTCCGTCCGCGTATCGTAAACATTCCGGACGATATTCGTCCGTGACAAAACGAAACCTTAAAAAACATTAAAGGTCCTTTAGTTATTGAAAACGTTACTTACGCGAACAAGAATCAATTATTACCGATAACCCACGCGAGTACAGCAAAACCAACTGAACAAACAATTAATGTAAACGCGACGCACGTGAGCTAGTGGGCGTGGGGGTACTCGCGTCGTTTCGTATACGGTTTTTTTTTTTTTTTTTTTTCGGACAATTTTTTTTTTTACAACGAGTGAACATACACGTCATTATACTCGAATGTAATTAATATAATAATAATCTAATTGAAATATATATAATTTGGATTCTAATCGTAGCGAGCAGGAATATATAATATTGGTTTACAACGATATTTTCTAACACCGAAATATTCGCTTGACGACAAAAAACGTACGAGAGTGTAAAAACCGTTTTGTATTTAATTCGAATACGATTTATCGATCCGTTTACAACGATCGATGTCAAACCGACGTCTCGCTAGCAATATATTTGTGGGTTTTTTTTTTTTTTTTAATCTTAAAACGCGTTTTTTTTTTCAGCGCGCGCAATCATTGCAGCGTTCGTCTCGTTTTCTTTTAAACGCGAAAACGCGCGTTTACCGAGCATAGAGGAAACGAAAATATCAACAATAAACAAAACGGGCAAAAACTTAGTAAATCGTATTGGTCATCGATATTACGTGTACGCGCACAAGTTACAAACCGGTGCAGTATACCGCGTGGTAATGTTCTACGGTGGAACCCGACGAGAAAGGGGTTCGTGCGATAAAAAAAAAAAACAAAAACAAAAAACAAAAAAATAAATAAATAAAACCGAATTAATTGTACGTAAATACGTTGCGGCGACTCGCGGCTATTATCACGCGTGGAAACCGTTGGAAATGCCCGGCGTTGTGCGCGTGCTACGCGATTAAGGGTTTCTTCGTACGCGCGCCGAGATTTGACGGCGTTTTCGAAAGCGGCGCGGCGCCCGGCCGGCTTGGATACGGCGGTCGCGTGATGTTATGTTTCCGATGTCCGTTTGTTCGATATTATCAGCGACGACTAGTAATCGCCTGCAACGTCTAGATCGCTGTCGGCCAGTGTCGCGGCACTAGCGTCGAACGCGCGCCGTTTTTACCGTGCGCGCCTTTGAACCGTACCACATAAAGTGTCCGGATCTGTTACGGTTTGGGGAAAACAAACGAAACGCGCGGCGGGACGCGATCCGTCTCCGCGTCACGCGTTTCAAACGAAACCCGTTCCGCGGGCCTCGCGGCGCGGTGGTAATCGCAAGGGACGGACGGACGGTGAAATTTTCGCGTACTCGCCAAGCAGGCACCACATCGGCATACGACAATGCGAGCGCGAATTCGGTTTTTACCGCGGGGAAAACGCGCGCGCGTGGGGGAGACGCCGGAGTGACGTTGAGATTGCGTCGCGAGAGCACATTCCGCCACGCGCCTTCTGCGCTGGATACGATCGCTGGTTACGGTGTTATTATTTCGGTACGCGCAACGACCCCGGTCGATAGAACTCGATAGTCGACGCGCGGACAACGAACGCGGGACACGGAAAATAAACAAATCGAAATGATAGTAACAAACAAAACGGACCGAGATCCCCGGATTGTGTTACGGAGGAGGCGCGGTTTATACGAAAAGAGATAATAATATTAATAACGATAATGCGCGCGCTCCGTGGGAGCCGGGCCGGCGGCGGCGCGGTGCCATCACGACCGGACACGGACGCAGACGCGCGAGAGGGAGAAACGGGAAAACGTGAGAGCCGACCGAATGGGAAAGGAAAAAAAAATACAGAAAAAAAAAACGAAACGCAACGCAACGAAAATACCTACACACACAGTCGAGCGCATTGTGCCGCGTGCACGTGACGGCCGCCGAGTCGTCACGATAAGACGATGAAATTGTGACCGTTTTACTTACAACACCGCGACGCTGCGATACACGCGCGGGGTAACCGTTTGAAAATAATAATAACGACAACGTTTGTTGCGTTATCGTTTATACCGGAGATTTCGGTTTTTTACCGACGACGCAGCGTTATTATATAACGTGTTATTATCGTTGTTAGAGCGCGGCGGATTGCCGAGCGGGTTTTCCGCGTCGCCGGACACGAACTCGCTCCGCGCAAAGGTCCGTCGCGGGCACCCCCGGTATATAACGTCGTAACTAGTGCTCGGCTGTTATAGCGGGTAAAAAACCGGCAAAATACACGCGAAAATATTGAAAAATATGCGCGAAAAAATGTCGAATAAGCGAAAAAAATAAAAAAATAACGATTCGGAGTTTGTTATTCGAAAATCCGTGTATAAAACACGTCGTTATTAACATGCGCAAGAAACGATAAAGAAGATTAAACGCGAATCGCGCGCGCCGTTGTCGTTAAATTAAACGGTAGACCGAGACGATGAGAAATAAAACGCCGAATGACTGCGTTGAGCAATATCGAGTTTTATATCCATTCGAAGTGCATCGGTCAAGAAAGAATGAAGAACCGCTAACGCGCGATGTGCAAAATACGCGTTTCAAATGTTCAAATTTTTTTTTTTTTTTTTCTCGTCAAATCTCCGTCGCGTACAAGTAATTTTCGTAGCTCGATCAGCCGTAAATCCAGCGCGCGCGGTAAAACATGCGGAATCCGCCGTAACATCCGAAGCGTACCCGGACTCGTGAACGTTGCGCGGGGCCCAGACACCGCGGCACGCCTCGTAGAAAACGCGTTCGGTATAAACACCGCGGCCGGTAGGGCGGGGTGACCGCGGTTCAGTGTCCAAAAGTCGGGGGCCGGGGAGGTTCGCTTTCGTTGTATTTTCACAACCGTTAAAAAAAAACGCGGCGAACGCTCGCGAAAACCGGCCGGTCGAATGCCGTCACTACGACCCCGGGCTGCCGCCGCGCGCATTTCGACGGACGCGGTGGTGGTATTCGGTTTGGTCGTGGTGCGTTATCGGACACGTGAGTTTCGCGGGTGCCGAGAAAACAGCGGCTCGGGACCGGCTCGAACGAAAATCTTGTTTCAACTGTTGTTGTCCGCAACATCGGTGTTTCGTCGCGCGCGCCCGAAACGGGCCGAAAACCGAAACGAATTTCGTAATTAAGGGCATTAAGGATTGGCGAGAAAAAAAAAATCTGACATTATTATACGCGATGATTTCGTCGTTAAACTCGAGGGACGGGGGGGGCTACGGTATAGCCGAAAACTGTACAGAAAAATTACGTATAAATATAAACTTTTTGTTTTTTTTTTTCCCCCATTATAATAGTCCCCCGACACGTATAACATACAATATTATAATAAAATAGAATCGAATTTTTATTTTTCTTTATCTTGTAATATATTACAATATCGTATAAAAGAACGGCGGCGCCACAGCCGGCCGCCGGAGGGGAAAGAAAAGAAAGAAAAAAACGTAATACAGAGCGAAACGACCGGACGCCGCAGCCGCCGCGCCGGAAGGCACACGCAGCCGTCAGACAGACAAGCCGAGCCGGGCCAAGAAAAATACAGACGTCGACAAACGGTTGTATTTATTTTTATTTTTTTTTTTTCTGTTCTTATTCTCCTCGTTCCCCTTGAAATCTTAAAGACATTTTAAAAATTGATAAGGTTTTTTTTTTTTTTATATTCCGAGTGGAGCAAATATTGGTTTTACAAAGATGTTTATTTTTTTTTTCTGTGGACAATTTTTCAACCAGAGGACTTGCTCCGATTTTACGTGTATAGGAAATCAGTGTAGGGAGGTACCACGGAGAAGTCATTTTTCCATTTTCTCCGGAGTTTTTTCAACAAATGTGAAAAACTGGGAAAACCAGGAAAATCGGAACAACATTTAAAAAATATAGATCATATTTAATTATTTTACCGCAATATGGCATATATATTGTTGACAAAGCATCACTATCAACTGAACTCGGTTCTTCATAAACAATGGTTTATATCGTTGCTTACAAGGTATACATTCATTAAATTAACAATTACAGTGGCTGCACCCGTCCCCATCATCCTAGGACGTCTTTTTTTAAAAAAAAAATTTTTTTAATCTCCGCAAAAAATTTAACCACCATTATAATTATTATTATTTTCTTTTATTATTAACGGTATTTACAAGAAAGCTTGGTTTCAGGATGAATACATTGAAAGTTCATTAAATCAACTATACATTTTATTCGTCAATGCTATCGGCACATTGATGCGTATGTATGAATGAAAAATAATGTAAACCGAAAAAACCGTACATGAGTACGTGACATACAATAAGATAAAATACGTAAGAGTCTACGTCCTTTGAATAGCATTTAAAAGCTTTGTACCAGGGGGAGGTGGATTGACGAGAAGCTTAAATTTCGGAGGTGTTCTAGACCACTTGTAACCCCCCCCCCCCGGGATTTAGATTCTTTAAGAACAGCATTTTATGAACTCGCCCTCGGACGCTGATAAAATTTCAATAAACGTTGTCCAAAAAAAAAAGGCGTCTATCGACATAGATACCTTTTAAACACGCGTGATTTTTCAGTACCCCTTCCGGAAAAAATGTTGAAAATCCGCTGCTCGTCGGTTCGGGCAGACCGCGCGTCGCCGTCCAAACGTTCCGTTGCTAACATTCTTCTTTCGGTCCGTCGTGCCGTACACGACATTGTGGACTTGGGACGAAAGTCGTTCGTCGTCTCGGGGGGGGGNGGGGGGGGGGGGGGGGGGATAGGGATTCGGTCTCGGCTGTGTTTTCTGTCGAAATAGACCTACGATATTAACGCGTCAATATTGAAATCGTTTAACGACCGCGGAACTTTGTTTGTTTGTTTTTTTTCCGGTAAAACGGTTTTTATACACCGTAATGGCGACGAAGAGAAAAATAATGAGCTGGTCGGGCGACAAACGTACTGCAATTTACTCCGGTATTCTCGGTAGCCGAGCGGCGAGTGAAAACGGATTTTTTTTTTTCGAGGCGCAACAGATGGTCGAAAATCGGGGGGCGGGGGAGTTATGCGCGGTGACATTGTGACAGGAAAAAAAAAAACGGAAGAAAACCGATTTCGAATAAACTTCACGTCGCGTTCGATTGTGTTTTCGGAAGTATTTTTCCGTCAACTACGATATAGTCGGCACGCAATCGACAAAAGGTCCGACACCCGGACTGATGCGTTTAGAGAGTCGAACAATACGAAGAAAATCCGTCACCGATCGAGAACGGTTTCGACCGGCGGGGTCTTGGGCTTTTTTGACTCGCCGCCCACGTTTACCTCCCACCGACCACGTACAATTTTCGAGGTCAACTTTGTTAGCCGCGAAAAGCGAAAACGAATTTAAATTTCCCAACGTGATCGTAGATGTGCTTTTATCGCTGAATAGATAGTAAAAGTTAACGTTTTTCTCGGTGGTATTTAATTTTTATTGCACGTAATGATGGGGGGGGGGAATTTAAAAAAATTAACGCGATATTTCTGACCCCGGCTGTTTTTCGCACGAAACCCGCACGTAAATAATCTGCAGTTAATCCGCAATTTGTTCCGCTTATTGATTATGAAACGCGCGGACAAATTACTATTCGGCCGATACTATAAAAAAGAAAAAATGGTTTATCGGATATTTTCGGGGGTGTCGGTTGTCAACTCGGCACCGCTATAGAGCGCTTTTTTCATTTTTTTCTTCTAAACAAAAGGCTTATCGCGACCCGATCTCAAAGCTTACCGCGCGACCCACCGGTTTTCGCGAGGACCGCAAACGACCAATTATCAAAAGACCCTTCAAACGACAACGCCGCTGTGCCTACCCACCTGCGGTTTATAAGGTCCCAAACGAACGATGACATTTCGCGATTTCCCGTTTTGTTACGAGCGCATTTTTAAAATTTTTTTTGTTTTTTCCAAAGAAGCACTTCAAGCCGTATATATATATATGGATTACCGCTGAACTGTGGCTCTTGGCCGTGAGGTTTTATCACGGACGTTTTTCGAAGTTTTGATATTTCCCCCACGCCTCCCCCCCGCCCCGTTGTCCCGAAAACCGGAGTTGAACGCGTCGATTCGAACGGTTTTTTAGGATAAACGATTTATTGTCCTGCCGTTAAAAATGCGAATTATAAAAAGTTTCAACCACCCTGGTAATATTCAAACACGACGCGATATTTGGACGGACAACGCGCCAAAGACGAATCGATTACATTAAACACGTTTGAGATGAATCGGTAACCCTAACGGCATATTTTTTTTTTTTTTTACCGCGTCGTAGCCGGGTTACCTGTCGTACCGCGGCGGTCGTCGAAAACCCGTCCGTTAAAAATTCAAACGTCCGGAAATACCGTTCGCGGACCTAGTGAATTGATAATCGTATACGCAAGGAAAAAATGTAAAAAAGAAAAAGGCAGCAAATTATTTTTTTTTCTAATGCGTCCGGTCGGATTATGACTCTTATTGACCGCCTACGCGGTTTAGCGGCGGATCGACGAAAAACCCGCGTGAACCGCGCAAATAAAAAACGCGAAAAAGTTTCGGAATATTATCGAAATTAAACGGGGGAAAAAAAATGGAAAAACCCTCTGGACCCGCGTAACAAGATCACGGGTATGCAATGAGAATAAATAAGACTGAAATATTATTACGATCTTATCGATACGAACGGATCGCCCGCGGGCTACGCGCCTGACGGTACCTAGTCGATGGGGGAGAAAAAAAAACCAAAGAGGTTGTGTACTTTATTTGGAACTAATAGTGTCGCGACTGGTACTCGTCGTACGGCCGAAGCCCGGGGGAAAACCCGAGCGTGTCGACCGGCCTACCTTTCGTAAATCGGAAAACGACACGCAAAAATAACAAAAACCGTACCGACATAATAACAATCGTAATTTTACCTGATAGAACGGCGGCGAACAGAATGGACCAGGCCAACAGCGGCGGCAAACGGCTGCGGATTCGGGCCATGACTTCGGACCGGTTTCGGGAACGTTGGCGCGGGACGTAAACGGATCGCACTCGCGAAAAATTCGCAATGTCGTGAATCTCGGCGAAACGAAAAAAAAATATTACAAGAACCGAAGACGTTCGATGATTCGACTACGGTGCCCGTGATAAATCACGCAGTCTGACGGATCGCGGACCGAGAAAAATTCAAACGGACAACGGCGGCGTGCCGGACTCTCGTGACTTGTACGGCGAGGACAACGCGAGTGACACGGCGACAGCACTGGACGGGACGGCGACGCGCGAAACGATGACGGTCGCGGTGGTCGTCGGACGGAATGCAGGTGCCGCGCGCGCGGCCAGTTCGGCTACGGTCGGCCGCGGTCGGCCGCGCTCGGTCCGAGGCGGCGGCGGCGGCGGCGGGCGGCGTGCTCTTGACTCCTACAACACAACACGCACGAAACACGATGTGACGCTCACCGGTTGGACCGGTCGCGTCGCGGCGGCGGCGGCGGCGGCGGAGGCGGCCGCGGCGCACAGGTAAAACTCTCCGGCCGCCGTTGCCGTCGTCGTCGTCGTCGTTGTCGTACCATTATTATTTTGGTATAATATCTCCGGTACGCGCAAGCACATTCGCGCGAGTACAGTGTGATTGTTTTAAAATGTCACGGACCGCCGAAGATACCGGATGACGTGTTATCATTATTATTATTATTATTAGGTCCGCGTCGGTGGCGGGGATCTCTTTAACGATTCCGCCGCCCGTCCGAGCGGAAGGAAAATAATAATTGATTATGCGCGGCCCTTTCGCTGTCGTTAACCCGGGGACCCCGTCAATTTTGCTTTTTGCGAATCAGCAGCAGCGGAGACGCTGTACTGACCATCGCATTGCTCCCGGAGCTCGAAAGAATAAATGAAGGAAGCGGGGGGACTATCGGACAAAAGAAAAAATTTATTCGGCCTAACCCGCGGGTAACTTTGTTTCCTACACTCTGCACATTACGCTAATTGTTTTAAGAAAATTTCGCGTTAATTCATAGCATAAAAAAGTTTTTAGACTCATAGTCATTAGTAATTATTTATTAATAGGGTACCGGGTTACATAACTCAGAATTACCATTAGATAGTGACAATTTTGTACCCTAAATAATCGGAAGCACTCGGGTACCGCTCACCTATCGTTAATCGTGACCGTTTATTTTATCAGACAAGGCCGCAAACGTGCAATACTATAAAAAAATATGTATAACAATTTATTACTAGACGATAAATTCTAGAGAAAAAAAAAATAATAATTATAAATTTATAGTTATGTATAATTTATTCGAGTTGGCGATGTGGCGATAAATATTTGTTGCAAATATCATTATTTACTTAAGGAGACGCACCGCACTCCTCTCCGTCGTAGTAGAAATAATAACTGAGAGGACGCCAACGAAAAAATAAAAATACTAGGGGAGTTTCGTCCTCTTGCACCTCTCCTCAATTCGAGCACTGATTACTCTATACACCACGCAACTGCCAACCAGTCTGGAATTTTTACGTCCTCTTCGCGATTCGGTCCGTTGAACCAGCTTAAGTCCAAAATCACATGCTGGTGAGTTCACGGCCCCCATGCCACACCCCCCACCAGCCAACGCAAATTTCTCCGTTGTCCCGAAGGGTTCGATTCGTCGGGTGGAGGCCCGGCCTATTAGCTGTTCCCTCCGTCGTTCACCCAACCCAACCTATAGTAAAACCAATATAATATGATGTTATTATCGATTTATCAATTTATTATTTAAAAATATATAAAAAATAACCGAGCTTAAAAAAAACTGTTTCTTTATGGTATAAATAATAATTAATACAAGGGGAAACATAATGACGGACAATTTACGGTAAATTGTATTGTTACCTTTATCAGATAAAATTTCGATTACGTAAAACATGCCCATTGCTTTTTTGCGAGCTCGTTGGGATGACGTTAAATTTGTAGGTGTTCTAGTAATTTATTTGTTATTTGTTGGTAATTCAAAGTATAGGTAGGTACAATATTTACAGTGTTCTCTCGGGGTTTTTGTTTTTTTGTTTAATAACGTAAAATATGAGTAAGTAAACCTTTAAAATGTTGTCGATTTACGTCAATTTTCGAAAAAGTTTATAAAATAATCGGTATCAGACATCGAAAAAAACTGACCAAGAGAACTGATCGAGGTCACAAAAATAACAACTAATTTATTAATTTTTTTCTAATGGAAAATTTAACGCCTCTAGAAAAGTTGTCACTCCAATTAGACTACTTTTTCTGTTCATATTTAGTATCGGGTAAATCGAACGCTAATAATCTATGAAGTTTTCGAATGAATTTGTTTTTGTTTCTTTTTTTTAGACAGAAGCCTCATACACTACTTACATTGGGGCCATTTTTAAATGAAAAAAAAATTGGTAGAAATTTTAAAAAAAAAATCAACATATTTAAGAGGTATACATGCAAATACAGGTTTAATCTGTAAAACAAAATATTCTATTTCTTGGGTTTTTGCAAATTCAACAATAGTGTCTTCAAACGTTAATCGTTTCGTAACATTATGATTTATTGATAGTGATAAACAATTAAATTTTTTTTCTTGTTCAATATGAACGGGATCGAAATTTTGTATACGTTTTTAAATGCGTAAAATGATAAATACATTAAATAAAATACAATTTTTTTCAAAAAATACGTTTACATTTTGTCCCGTAACTGTATTATTGTTGAATATGCTCAATCGGACATCTGTACCAAATACATCTTTAAAGTATACGGTTTTTAAATTTTTTTTTTTTTTTTTTTTTTATTACACTGTGGGACTACGAGGACCCTCAGCGTTTGAGGGAGCCCCGTGCCCGTGCGTCACGTCATGCGTGAATCAGGGCCCGCTGCATTATAAACGTCGGTTAGCGATAAAAGAACATCACTCTGTATACGTATCTATACTGTACATATTACAATGAGCCTGGCGGGCCTAGCGTAGTGTTTGCGCGTGGTGGCGGCGCGGTCCGGCGTACCGTGAAGCGTGCAATTCAATTTGGGAGTCCGTCGCCGCCGTCGTTCGACGACGAAAACGACAGAAGCGTTAAATCTCAATAATAAATACTTCGTGGCTATAGGTATATTGCAATACCAATAGGTAGGTATAAAACCGTGTGGCGAACGGATACGTGCAGGAGGACGGACAGACGGACGGACGGACGGCCGACCGGCCCGGGTCTGAGGCGATTTCGACGACACGTTTTTTTCTCTCACTCCCTCTATCCTTGTTTTTTACGCCGAGGCGTTGATGGAAAAATACGACATCCGGTTGGAAAAACAAAAGAAAAAAAATGTCACCCAGCTATATAGACTTCCCCCGTGACCGCTCTCGGTATTCGTTGTTTTCGGAATATTATTGTCTACGTGTATACCTATACCTATAGAACAGGTCTTACAGTATACTTTACGGGCGCTGGTATAATAATGGATTACCCGTTTGAATTGAAAAATAAAAGAGAGAGTACTCCGAGACTTCAAAAAAACCATCGTCCTTTGCGATGATTAAAGTCAACCTGGCCCGTGTGGAGATTCGCCCCCCGTACCCTCAACCGTTCTTCTTATTCGTCCAATTATTACGATATAATATACCAATAACGTATTTACCAACAATTACAATGAAAATATTATTTTAAAACTTGTCGTGTGTCAACGTATAAAAATTAATAATTACGTACAAATTTACCCAAGTTAATTTGGCACTTCATTGATTTTAAATAATATTTTACAACTATTGGTAACTGTAATTTACTTCTGTATTTTAGACTCCGAGCGCAGCAAGTGAAACGAAGATGTTTATTTTTTTTTCTTCTTTTTTCTAGTCTGTGGACACGTTTTATTCTGGTAAACTTGCTCAAATTTTTACGAAAAACAACTTTTCTGAAAGTTCAATTTGTCTAAATGGTACTTTAAACAGCTAATTTTTCTTGATTTTCCACGCCATTGTTTAATAAAAGCACTTAAGTGAGAAAAAACGTACAATTTCACGATTTCATTATTTTATAAAAATACGGATGACGTTTTCTACCAGAAAAAAAGATTTATTCGAAAAATCACAATACTTCTTTTTTTTTGTTGTCTTTTTTATTTACATTCTCACTGTATCATCATCAAAACTTTTGGGCCACTTTTGACCTTTTAAAGAATTTTAATTTTTGCTGAATCTCGATTATAAATACACGTAGAGACTTGAAACTTGGTAATAATACTTATATTGGACTTAATTAGACGTGTTAAAATTTCCAAAATGATCGGGAAATTTTTTTTTTTTTAATAAGCATTTTTAAATCAAATTTATACGAAAATCGCAAAATAATTACTGCACTTCAAATTATACAATACCAAATTGCGCTCGAAATCGTCTTTCGTCAAGCAATAGTTTATCGTTGCTTACAGATATAAATAAAATAACCTTATGTATCCTACCTTACCAACTTCTCATTTACAACAGTGGCCGCTCCCATCTCCAGTATCAGCTCTATTTTTACTTTTAAAAATACGTTTAAAGTGCTTTTTCCGGGCTTTTTTTTTGGCGTTTTTAAACGTTTTTTCGTAGGTTTTAATCGTATACGTGAATCCATTCCATAGTCATTACTAATACAATATACGACAAAATATTACAATCGCGAACAGTTCGGGTTTGTTTTTTCCTTTTAGGACAATATTCTTCAGCAAGTTATTTTTTCTTCTGCGTATCCAAGACAATACATAATAAAAGGGTTTAAAAGTTTTTACTAGAGGTCCAACTCAATTCATAAACATAAGAAAAAAAATATGAGTAGAACATAATGCATTTCTTTCGATAGTCACTAAAGTGTTCATTGGACTAGACGCACGTTCACACACTCACTTGAAATTGCAATTGTCTTAATGGCGGTTAACAGAGGGTTCAGTTTCAGTATTATCTAATATTATTTTAACAAAATAACACGTTCGTTCCCCCGTTATAATTGAAATAATTTGAAGGGGTGCTCTTAAAATGTGAAAAAATTGAAGAGGAGTTCCGCCCCCCTGCATCCACCCTCCCCCCAATTTGAACACTGCATGTATGATACATTCTTTTTGTCATCGTCAAATACAATCTTACACTATTTCAAAACTAATAGAAAAATGTGTTCATATTCGTTCGGTTTTCGTTGAATTATCCGCGAAAACAGAGACTAACGCACAGGTTTCTATTAAATATATACATGATGCCTACGATCTCCCTTGCAATGAAGCCAGGGGGATGGAATTTTATTATAATGTGGAT